TTTTGTTGCAGTGAACATATTTNCTTCTTGCTACTAACACTAATTGTCAAACTCGAACTAAGATAAAAACAAGGTATGAATCCTGAGAAGAGAAAAGCTAAGGGTGTCTATTGGGGAGGTTATGGGTGTTTGAACTTTTACACGATGAGCTCAAAGATTTTGCTCCAGCACAAGAATAGTGTCTTTTTAGTACCAGTTTTGTCGCAGTGAACATATTCNGGTTGAACTTTTACACGATGAGCTCAAAGATTTTGCTCCAGCACAAGAATAGTGTCTTTTTAGTACCAGTTTTGTTGCAGTGAACATATTCTGGTGCAAAAAATATGGTACTTATGATAGTTTATAATCGAGTTTAAGAGAAATAAGTTGTACAAAATCTTATACTTATTTTGGAATTGATAATTGTTCGATTCAAACATGCGTGCTCAAATTTGGTGAATAAAATGTATGTATCCACTCATTTTTTTTGGGTACAAAGTGTTCAGGCTTGTGCTGACCACCCCACCNGAACATATTCTGGTGCAAAAAATATGGTACTTATGATAGTTTATAATCGAGTTTAAGAGAAATAAGTTGTACAAAATCTTATACTTATTTTGGAATTGATAATTGTTCGATTCAAACATGCGTGCTCAAATTTGGTGAATAAAATGTATGTATCAACTCATTTTTTTTTGGGTACAAAGTGTTCAGGCTTGTGCTGACCACCCCACTCATTTATGATATCAGTAACTTTCCCTTCCGCAGCAACTACAAAAGTTTTCTTGGTTTATGAAATTTCTAGGCCAATTCATCCACAGGGGCTCAAATCAAATCACTCAAAGTTTCAACTACAAAGTCCACCTCTGGCACTTGGTGAATTACGAGATGGCTATGGCCCTCGTGAGGTTTAAGACCTACTCGCCACGTAAAGGAAATTTCGCTGCATTTCACTAATGCTCCGTTTAGTATGATAAAAAAAATAGAAGATTGGAGAAATAAATAAAACATCATACTTGATAAGGAAGAAAAAAATGAAGGATAAAAAAGTGGATAAATTCACTTTCTTTCTAATTTATCAAAATCAATATATATATATATATATATATATATNGGCCCTCGTGAGGTTTAAGACCTACTCGCCACGTAAAGGAAATTTCGCTGCATTTCATTAATGCTCCGTTTAGTATGATGAAAAAAATAGAAGATTGGAGAGATAAATAAAACATCATATTTGGTAAGGAAGAAAAAAATGAAGGATAAAAAAGTGGATAAATTCACTTTCCTTCTAACTTATCAAAATCAATATATATATATATAATAAATTAAAAATTAAAAATTAAAAAAATATTTTTTTCATGTTAACTAGAAGTGAAAATTTTTGATTCAACACAATGGCACGACTTAAACTCGACACAAATTTTATGACATGAACTTAAAAATGACTTGACACGCGAACAAGAAATATAAAAGACTCATAATTTTATGACTCAACACGAATATGATACGACACGACTCAATTGTCATCCCTAATCTTACCCAGTACAAAAAAAAATTAGTCGTTTTTATTTTCCATCAATCCAACTAAACATAAAAGAAGAAAAGTGTATCATTTTTACTTTTCATCATTAAAAGATAAAAGGTGTATCCCTCATACTTTTCATCCTTCATACTTTCTATCATTCCTACCAAACGGAGCATAAGAAAAATTTTATGGGGTAAATGGCGTTTTGCATTGGGAAAGATTTTTGTTTTCTCAATTTACACCTTAAAAGATTGAAATTATCATATTGCACCCTCAATCAAATAGAAAACTAGTAATGTGCTTCATTCAAAATTGAGTATCACATTTTTGTTGAAAACGCACAAAATTTAGTATTATGCAAATAATTGTGTATAAAAATAATAAAATATGATAAATATAACAAAAAATTTGTCATAAAAGATAACAAACATATACTTTTGAACTATTTGCTATTATTTTATCTAATTGAGGGTGTAATGTGAGAATTTAAATCTTTTGAGGTATAAATTAAAAATTTGAGAATCTTTTAGAATATAAAATGTCATTCACACAATTTTCTCATAGAAATTTCTCGCCATTTACGAATGTCATTTTTATAAAATGTAATTTCCTCGTAGAAATTTCTCGCCATTTTACAGATATTTTTTTTTAATAAAATGTCATTCACACAATTTTCTTGTAGAAATTTCTAGCCTTTTTACAGATATCTTTTTTAATTATTAGAAAGGGACTTGACTATGGTACTGGGAAAAAAAATTCACTACCGTACCTCCAAAATTTACTACTTCAGTGGGTAGTTTTATAGTTTTTGTTGGTTATTTTAAAACAAAAAAATTATTATTTTTGTGGATGATTAACTATATTTGTGGGCATTTACCTTTTTTATTTGTTACAAAAAAATTACCACAATCCGGTGAGGTAGAGAGGACTCATCAATGTCCAAACAACGTTCCTTATTATTTTTTATAGGGGAGGAGGTTAGTGAAGTTTGAACCCACGACCTAACAGTCCAACGACAGACTACGGAGCCATTAGACTACTGCTGATCTTCACGTATTCCCCATTTTATTAGATGTTTACGTATTCAAATCAAATAGTTTTCAGATAAATTACTCAAACGAGTGCAAGATTTTCACACATGTATCATTGTTAATAACTACTTCCTCAATTTCTCTAAAAATACTTTTTTATTAATACAAAATGGTTTTTGAATTGCCCAACTTATAAACTTATAAGAAAATATTTCAGATTAATATGAAAACTGATCACAATTAGTGATAGAAAATTTTTCTCACGGGTTCGGAAGATGTTACTTTCTCAGTAGGATGACATGTATCATGTTTCATTCAGGGTTAATATGAGATGAGATCAGACAATTAATTTCAATTTAATATATACCAACGGTAATAAAATTATAATATTCATTGGTATATTTAGAAGGACAAAGTTACCCTTTCATCTAATTAATAACATATTGAATGGCGAGTGAAGTGATCAATCCGTATAGGGCACAAACAGTATAACAAGTAATAAGTGTGGTTGCAAGCCATTGGTGATTGAGAAGACTACGCTTTTATTGATTTATATATATTGATTAACTCTTTCATTCCACAACACACGTGTAACGGTTAAGATTTAAATTCACGTCCACTTCTAAGTATGTATGGGACAATCATGAGTAAAAATTTAGAAAATGAGTTTTCATTATCAACAAGAATATATTATGATTGAACATGAATGTCCATAATTGGACCCATCTTCGAGTATGGAGTTCTAAATTTTGTCTTTCTTCTTATGTTCTTTTATGTACTTGACAGCAGACACGATGCCAATAACAAGATTACTGCTAAAAGAACAAGACAGAAAAAAGAAATCAATTTACGACACAATCATTGAATATGCTTCAATAACTGCTCTAACGACATGGAATTTTAGATTTTATTGTAATGTGACGTGTAGACATTCCAACAAAGATAGTGTGGCGAAGTGTGTTTGAGTTTCAGCTTTTTTCACTTCTCCAACAACGCGTTTTTTTTCTGGGCCCTAGTTTCTCGGAATAGTCAACAAACAAGTAAGAAACGTCTCTCTGTTTCTTTAAATCCATCCCACAAGCCCACAAGATTCTTACAACATTTTCGGTGAATCAAACGTTGTTGAGTGTGAAAAATGCAGCTTAATCGACAGTTAGAAGATGGAAATAACGTTGGATCAGAAGAGAATAGCAGTTCAGATGATGAATTAATGAAGATCTTTGATATAAGGATTAAGTAAGTCAACTCTCTTTCTTTTGCTGCGGTTGCTTTGAGAATATCATCCAAATGATGAGCAAGAAATTGGAAAATCAGTAGAGAGCTGAAGTGGGTTTTTATTGTTTAGTTAGTTCTTGGTTGGATTTGATTCATATTTTTTTATTAAATAGTTTTTAATTTGTTTTTTATTTTATTTTTTTTAGGAGGAAGCTGGAGGTGATGGTGACCCGTACAGTCGAGCGTGTGATTGCGCCGATTGCCGAGCGTGTGATTGTGCCGATTGCCGATAATTTGTTCCGTAGAGTTGTGAGTGCATTTTGTGGCCGTAACACATCTGGTTCATATATATATATACACATATGCATTTGTATATGTGTGCGTGTGTGTGTGTATTTGGGTCTCTGCCTGCTTGTGTTTTTATGAATGGCTAATTGGTTCAATGCTTACATGTACATGTATTAATATGCATATGTTTGTATACATTAGATTTGTAACCACTTGAATTCGAAAAAATTTATGTGTATGCATGCGAATTTTATTTGTGCATTTCGGTGCATATGTGGGTGTGTATCTCAAATTTGTTTTTCAAGAATTGAGCTTAACCTTGATTCTGGTTCCTTGCTTTGCTTGGAGTACTATGTGGAGATCTTTCTTTTTTGATAGGAAACGAAACTATTTTGACACTGTTCTGTGATCTTACTAAGTTAAACTTGATTTCGTAGAGTTGTGAGTGCATTTGTGGCCACAATACAGCTGGTTCATATATATACAAATGCATTTGTATATGAATGGTTGTATGTGTATGTGGGTGTTGTGTGGGTGTATATTTGCGCATCTGCCTGTTTATTTGTTAAAAAAATGGCTAATTGGTTCAATCCTCACATTTTCATGTATTCCTGTGCATATGTTTGTAACATACACTTAGATTTGTAAGTTGTAACCACCCGAATTCGAAAAAATCTGGGTGTATGTTTGTATATGTGTGTATGCATTTCAGTGCATATGTGGGTGTATAATTTGTTTTTCAAGAATTGAGCTTAACCTTGATTCAGATTCCTTGCTTTACTTGGAGCACTGTTTGGCAATTTTTTCGAATTTGATAGGAAACAAAACTATTTTAGAACTGTTTTGTGATCTTACTAAGTTAAACTTGATTTTATCTCAAGAAGTGTATTGCGTGGGGGGGGGGGGGGGGTGCAGTTACAGGGGAACCTTTTAAACCTTGGAAGTGCAGTAGCCCCTTCAGCTTCCCTACCCCCACCCCACCCCTATAAGGAGTTCAGGTTAAGGATTTGGTTTACAATGAATGGTGCATGACCCTTTGAGTTAGTTCTTTATACACAGGAAATTGATACTTCCCCTTCTTGTGCTCTCTCCGTATACAGTGGAACCTAGGTGAGAAGGCCGCAGATGACACACATGCACACATAAAAGTCTATTTTGAAAGATCGGGGTTGGGAACTCATGTTATGTTATATCCCTTTTAAAAAAAATTGAACACGTCCGTGCAAATTTTGTGCATTGATGTCATTATGTTACGTATTGATGTCTCAAGGAGTTCGTATGTTTTGAATTATCTTCCTATTCTGTATAGTTTTGGCCATATGGGATTCAGAGTTTGCTAACAGTGGTATCAATTTTTATTTCTATATGCATTTCCATTTCGTGCCCTATTAATACAGAATTTTTCTTGCTGTCATCCTCCCTGAAATATGTACAATGATGGAATTTTCTTTCGTTGAAAGGTTGTAAAGAAAAATATTAGTTTTCATTTGAGTAATATAAAGCTTCTATAATGCAATAGTAGGAAGATATGATGGTTTTGAAAGGACCATCATGCTAAGGTAACTCTGTTCGTAGGGGACCGTGTAAACGAAAAGCTTAGATTGTTGCAGGTCATTACAAGTGGTCACTTTCTTACATTGACAGGTTATATAAATTCATCGATAGGGGGCTTTTCTTATATAAAGTTTTCAAGCCACTTTATGCGATAGTTTTCATATATTATAATGTGGCTTTGGTGCTTATTTTACTTTGTTGGCGAATTATTGCATCTAATTTTGATTAATTGGGTACTTGTGTTAACATTCAAGGAAATAATAACTGTAAATGGATGCTAAGCTTCATATACTGTTAATAAGATGTGTTTCCACTGCCCAAAAGGTACACTTTCTCCAAGTAGTGGTGTAGTGGACTTTATCATGCCCATTTATGCGTTTTCTTGCGAGTTTCTGGGTACCTATGCACTTGAATGCCATCATTGAGTTATTCGTAACTTGAATTTTATGTTGCCAGTCTCTTAGATCCAGGAAATAGCAAAGTTGACATTTATTCCTCTAAATTTTGATAATAGAACTTGCCTCTCTCTTTCTCTCCAACTGCTCCCTCAACAAATCACTCTCTCTCTCTCTCTAACTGCTGTCTGATTGATCAGGAGACTCATTATATCGATTATTTGATGTCAATCTTCTACCAATAGGTTTTGTGTTGAAGGTATAATGTGAATTCGTGATTTGTCTCTCATGAATTGCTCTTCGGTGTCTGTAGGACTCTCATATTAAGATGAATGCCAATGTGCCCCACATGATTTTCACTACTGGTGCACACGAGTTCAGAATAGGTCCTCAATTGTCTATGACATTATTCACAAATCCAATGTTCATTGCATCCCAGTTCTTTGTTTTTTAATTAGTGTGTGTATTCTCAAGACTCTGTTGAAAATATATATCTCATGCGTTTGAGCTGAATCTCAACTCTTAAAGGTTTAACTGCTCTATCCTGCTTCCATTTTAATTAAAACCAACTTTTTTGGGAATCCTAAATAAAGTGGGAGAGATGTTACCATATTGGGCTATCGTTTTATTGTTACCTGTTGTGATTGTGCCTAAAACTCATGTACATGTATGCTTGTCTGGGTGGTGTTGTGTAACTTAAAGTACTTCGACTTTGCATTGAAGCCATGTGTTCTAGCTTCAAATAAGGATGAGAGCCTAGTCTACTATGGCCAGTGATCCTTGAGATTGTGAAAGTATGACTTTCAATTTCTTAAATTATCATCTCTATCTTCTTGATTCAACATCTCTTTCCAGGTTAACGAGGCAATTGAATTGGCACCAGAAAAGATTTTGACAAGCATTAACCAGTGAGGATCTATATTCTGGGCCATTTATGATTTTCTTATTTTGTGAGGAGGTGGTCTTGTTAGATCATCATTACCAATTACTACCCCAAACTGACGCATCCTTGCACTTCTTTGTCAGGAATCCGGAGAGAGCGATAAATACTTCAGAACCAAGGATCTTAAAGCTACAGTTTCCAAACAAAGTCGGTCTTCCAGTCTTTACAGGGGAGGAGATCAAAGGAGAAGGGGGTAACTCTATTACAATAGAATTAATCGACGATTTAACTGGGCAAGTTGTTAACTCGGGACCTGAAGCTTTTTCAAAGGTGGAAATAGTACCTCTTATGGGAGATTTTGATGGTGATGAAAGAGACAATTGGACACATGAAGAGTTTAATGATAAGATTTTCAGGGAAAATGAAGGAAGAAACTCTCTTCTTGTTGGAAGTGTAGACCTCAAACTACATGAAGGCATTGGTCGTGTAGGTGCTATTAAGTTCAAACATGGTGCACACTGGATGAAAATACAGAAGTTCAGGCTGGGGGCAAGGGTTGTAGATAGGGTTACTGGGACTAGAGTTAAAGAGGCAAAGACAGAATCCTTCTTAATCAAGGATCGCCGAAATAAACGTAAGCATTTCTAACATTATGTTATTTTGCTTCTCCACCTTTTTCAAGGTTGCACAATTATAATAAGATATTGGGCATGTAAGTAAATTATTATGACACTCGAAAAATTATTGATGTCTAAGCTCAAAAAAAAATTAACGTTATTAAAAGTTGGGAATCTGAAGTTAATACTGTGGTGGTGAAAACTGTTGGAGAAAGGTAGATGTGGAAGTGTAGAAGTCTTAGATATAGGTCTTATCCAATCCCCAGCATGTATCGCTCTGTTTGTATCTTTGTTGCAAGGTTAGATTCAAATTTAAGGTGCAATACCCAAAGAAGGTCTATTTGTAGCATCATGAGCTATACAATCATCCTACAGCAGCTGAACATCGATAAGATCTAGCAGTTTTTACTAAAGGCCTAAAAATTTCACACAACATTGTGAGCTTTTGGAAGATAGTAATCAAATATATTCTTTCCTCACTGATTGCTTTGACATTTCTATTCACTGCTTTGGGTCCTCCCATGATTAGTATTTTACAGTTTTGGCGTTATTTTCTAGCATCAATTAATTGTAGTGGGAGTGACGGTTTGGTAGTGGAAGAAGTCTTTCAATTCCATGAGCTAGATGGGTAACTTAACCCATGGTGGTACCTGAGAGTGAAGCTATCTCATTTAAACACCACAGGGAACTGTTGAGAAACAGTGAATCAAATTATGGAATTATTGATGTAAATAGTGTCTCTTTATTGCAAATAAAATGCTGGGACATGGGTATTTTTATGGCAGTTAGAATACCCTGATGGAAAGAACAAAGGGGATTGTACAAAACACAAGTCCATTGGACTAATCTGAGGCTTCTGTTTTAGTGCTTCTATGACAGAATGGTTGTGTGTTGGCTCTTCTCATTTTAACTCTATTATGGACATGGATTACTTGTGTGTGAACCTTGAAGCTCTTATATGAAAATGATTGTTTTGCTAGGTTCTCTAACTGTATTTGGCGTGGTGTACATTGGCATTTTATGATTCAAATCGCATTTATCTATATGGTGATGCACACATAAGTTTGAAAATTTCAAAATATTTAGAAGTGGTTTGCATAAATGTGGTTATGCAACTATAACTTTGAGGAGCTAGGAATGATGTTGGAGAATTTTTAGATGTCTCTTTCCTACTCCAGCTTGTAAACGGAAATTTTGAGTTTACCTTCATTTATTCTTCGGTTCTGGGGTGCATATTTTACATGTATAAACTCATTATATGAATATATGTACTCACCTACTTGGGAAGAAGAGTTTTGACTAGAGCAGTTGTATGACTTTATTATTGATCCTCTTGACACGATTCACTCATCTGCCTATGCCTATGCAGAACCAGGATAGATGGACCCAAAAAAATGGGGAACACATGGCTACCACGTCCTTTTCTATATTGTGTTGAATGATTTGACTTTATAAAACAATACAGGTGGGAGGTTATTATCTGAAACTCAATTTTGATCTGTATCTTGAACAATGTCATCATGCAATGCTTTGCTTAGTTTATTAGATAAATAGACTGGCAGCTCTTTTGGTTGAATTCCATTCATTTTCCATGGAACCCATAAATTTCCAAGGGTTCGTTATTTTTTGTAAGACGTAAAAAGGGTGAAGTACTTTTAATTGCTTGATAGGAACCGAGGATTTCTGAAAGGTCTTGATTATTTGATCACTAATTTGTTTATAGGATTGGTTTGAGCATCAAGGACATGAGGGACATCTGCTGTACAATGTGTTCTTTAGTGTTCTGGTTTTCTTGCATCCTAGAGTCCTGTCAAGCTATGTATAAAAGATTGGATGTAGAGAGTAAAATGCTATGAATATGGAGCTTTATAAGTTTTCGGGAGTAAGAGCACATAAGAAACTCCATTATAGTTGCTGTTTTCCATTTGCAGGTTCCAAGAAGAGTGGCCTCCCATCTCTTTGTGATGATGTATCGCAATTAAAACATATTGGCGAACGTAGTCATCTACGTAAGTGTTTGAACGAGGCAAACATCAACACTGTGCAGGATTTTCTGACCTTACTTAACATGAACCCTGAAAGGCTCCAACAGGTAATTACTGACTGCTCTTTTCTCCAATCTTCGCCTTTGCAGAACTTTCTCGTGATATGCTCAACTTGTTGCAGTGAACATGTTTCAGTTTTTAGGCACTACCTTTACATACCAATGTCGCTTAACTGACTGATAGACATGTTTTTAGAGCTAGTTGATCCAATTGCGTTTAATTTAATCAGTGACTCTAATTGATTCACTCTTCATTTCCTTCTTGAGCATTAAAAAAGTCAAGTTTGTCATTGTCTAGAGCATTAAAAGGATGTTTGTTATTGTTACATGATGGGACATTTTCCAGACATTTCAAGATAGCGACACGTGTACTCGGTATTAAAGAAATACTCTCTGCTGTGATCACGACACGTGCTCGTCGGATCATGATTCCTCTTCCCCCGAGGAGGGTACTATGCATAAGGATCTACGACGCCGGTATGCACGGGGCGACAGGTATTTCTCAGTCGAATTTGGGGGGTACATCAGCCCCTAACCATACTAGGCCCTCGGCACCGAGGTGTATCCACTACATCGGCGTTCTGTTCCTGTAGGGTTATTGATAGACAGATCATCAGCCTGGACTAGGCTAGATTAGCCATCATGACCTGGTCTTATCTAGATGGTGTCAGGACGCACAGGAAAGTAGAAGACTCAACCAAAAGGGAGCTGACACGTGGTGTACTGTGTCAGATCAGAGGCAAAAAGACCAAAATTACTGACACACGACTTGAGAAGGCAAGTATTTAATGCACTTTTCCCTTGATGAGACAGTATTTAATGCGTGAAGCCCCGGAAGTGAAAGACAATGAATGTTCCTGTGACTGAGCATTTAATATACCCCTGCCGAGCGAAGGTCATTAAACACTCAACAGACCGAGAGTGATGCATTGGTTGCTCGGGGTCCCGAGCAGTTAAGGAAGGGGTCATTTCTACTAAAAATCAGTGCGCACGTTACCCACTTCTAATGATCACCTACTGACCATACTGACAGCAATAATGAGTTTTTAAGATATAAATACTCCTTACAAAACGCATGACGAGGTACGCAATGAACCCTCTCTCAATCTTCACACAGTGTTTTTTTCTTCCCCTCTCTCAAAGAACTGACTTGATCGTCGGAGGAAATACGCCGAAAAATACTCTGACACCCTTCTAACCTGTTTTTTTTTACTCTAGGAAACTCCTTCAGTTTTCCAGGATCACTCAGGCGACTCATACCAATAATTGATTATCCACCTTCGACCCTCACAACCTGTTCAACTAGCAAGATCAACTACCCAATTTCGGATACGTGTTCACCACGGAAGAGATCTGTCCTCGTGTTTATATTGTGCAAGATCCTGCATGCACATCACATACTAAACTCGAAGTCAATTTTTGTTTCACATATCATTCCGTGTGTATTTCTGCATACCTATGTAATGTGCTCAAGACACCTAGAAATGCATCTGTGACGAACATATCTCGATCTTGCCACGATGCCTCTGAATAAGTTTTCAGTACTCGCTACTTGTTTACCAAAACACTTCTGTACCATGAGAAGTGTTCTGCCCACCAATGGGAAGGACTGCAAATCTGTGGCTTGAAAGAGTCCTACAACATTGTAAATTTCAGGTTGTCTAATTAGTGTGAACTTGTGATGTAACAGCTATTGAGTTTATCAATGAAAGATTGGACATTATTCTTTGACTCAAAATATAAGTAGAACCAAAAATTTTTGTCTGCTTAAACCGAAGGTTTCACCGTCAGAAAAAAAACCATTTCACCCAATTTTTGGAATATGGAGTATAGTAAGCATTTGTTTGTCTGCATATCTGCAGTTACTTGGACCTGGGGCTAAGAAGGAGGTCACATTGGACCATGCTCGAAAATGTATAATCGACAAAAAGGTGTACTTGTACCATTATCCCCCTTCTCAACAAAATACTGGCGTCGTTTTCAATGTTGTGGGACAAGTGCTGGGATTACTCTTGACGTGCCAATATGTTCCTTTTGATAAGCTGTCTAAAATTCAAAAGGCATGCTTCTCGTGGTCTTCAAGTTTCTTTTCTTTCTTCATTTTCCTTTTGGTCATTTCTATCTTTTATTATTCTTTGTTTTGTTGACAGGTTGATGCTCATAAGTCGGTAGTATCTGCACTTGCACATTTGGACAATGCACTCCTCTTCGATGATGAGACTTCTCTGCTGCAATACTCTTCTGACCGATCCAATGCTTCTGAACCCTCATACTTACCCAATATGGATACTCATAGAGGTCAGAACTTTGTGGCTTTTGAAATGAATCGCGAATATGGCCACACACTGCCAAGTGCCTCTTTTCAGGGTATCAATTCATCTGATGCTTTTTACCCTTCAATTTATCCCATCCTACAGAGACCTAGTGACCATATCTCTGAAATGAGTGTTGAATATCGCCATACACAACAAAGTATCATTCCATCCATCAGTCCTCCTGGGGGTACATGTAGTGTGGATGATTTTGGCGTGGCCGGTCAAGGAAATATGGTGTTAATTGTTGACACTCCTGTAAGTGCACCAGGCCAAGGGCCTAACTTCCCAACTCCAAGCATCAATCTAGAGGATATTTTTCCAGGTTTTGATGAGTTTGAGCATCATAAGTTTCTCAATGAAAATTTGAACTTGCAGTCAGAGGCCCCCGGTCCAGAATTGGATGCCAATCAACATAGTGCTGCCACAGGTTTCATTTTTGTCGGACCTCAGCCTGACAAGGCCCTGAAGAGTTGGACAATGTTGTTCAGTGTTGTGAGATGTTTCTCAAAATGGAGGAATTTTGCTTTAGATGGAATTCATGTCCAGAAGAAGACGAGATTCTGTTAATGGACTCTGCATAGAAAAGTTGTAACAATGACAATCACACGCATATAATTCTTGTAGGTGCTGCCAGGTGAAGATCACGAGCAGTTGTGAAGAAGGGTAAGTTTTCTTAGATGTTTATACAGTTGGTAGTTTGTGAATGGTTATATGGCAGCGCTGCTAGCCGGAGATTGCTATATGCACTTTTTTCATACATAAACGTTGACTTACGTGTTTTTTTTCAGTGTTACTCTTGATGCAGTAATAGCTAGAATGTGAATACATAAATCTGTTTAAATAGAATGCATCATCCTAAATGCTTGTTTTCTTTTCTCTCATAGAATTAGGACATATTCTTATGTTCATCATTTTTATTTTCATTATAAAAGGGAGATAAGAAACACAGAGGTTGAGATGAGATTAGGGGAAAAACTCAAACAAAAGGTGCTTATACGAGAAAGAGAAAGATATGATGAGGGCGGTCTTTGGTTCGCCTAGGGGATGTTCAATCCTTCAACATGTTGATAGTTTAACACAACGGAATTCAATCAAATGCGTTTAATCTTATTGGTCAAGTTTAATACTCTCAAGAGATTCGGTCATTTGCCTTAGTTATCTATGCAAAAAAAAATCTCAACCTCCTTGGTTTCATTTAACCCATGTAAATTAGTTGAAGTTAATTTTTCAAATCGAGTTAGGATAAAATCTAAATGGAATTTTTGATGCATTTTTTACGTGGGATATATAGGTCCCACATATTTTTTGTTTTATCTTATCCTCTCAGAGTTATACTTATTTAACTTGTAATCCAAACATATCCTAAATGAATGGATTTAGGTAGATAATTTGGATGAATTTTTCAGTGATTAATATCTCAAAGTTTCAAGTCAGTCTAGACTTGCTGATTGATCCAATTCGGGAGATTCAAAAGTAATGCACATCTTGAGTTTACATCTCAACCACGAGTCTAAAGGATGCATGATGAAACTGTTGACAGACATAAAAAAATTAAGGTGCCATTTGGTAATTGTGTTTTTATTTTTTATTTTTATTTTATGGCAAAAAATAAAAATAAAAAGGTGTTTGGTGAATATTTTTTATGTTTTTTTCTTGCTCTATTTTGAAAACAAGGCCAAAATATGGAACCATTCAAAATGATATTTTTAAAAGCATTCAAAAATAAAAATAAAAAACAAAAACGCATGTGCAACTTCAAAATTAGATTTTAATGAGATCCCGACTTCCATCCTCCTTACTAACAAATATAGATTTTCTTGGTTGAGTATAAAAGGCCCCCTCCCCTCTTTCACTTTTTTTTTTCTAGACCCTTCTCTTTCTCTCTTGCTCTTCTCTGTTTTTGGGAGTGGTGGTGGGTTTCGGGGGTGTTGGTGGATTTCAGGGTTTTTTTTTTTAATGTGTGTGCATCGGTGGTGGTGGACTGTTGTTGGCGGTGGTTTTGGGTGGGTTGGGTGGTGGGATTTCGGTGGTGTTGGTGGTGGGTTGGATGATGAGTTTTCGGTGGTTAGGTGTGGCTAAACAAGGGTGGTGGTGGGTTTTTAGTGGTATTGATGGTGGCAAAAGAGATGGAATGGATGGTGGATTTTGGAATGGTGGAGACATGATGGTGGCTGTGTTGGGCGGGTTTTCGGTGATTTGGGATGATTTGGATGGAAATGTATTTGAGATTAAAAAATTAGTTAAAAAAATATGGAAACACTATTATAATACCAAACATATTTTTTTTTATTTTCATAAATTTTTAAATATAAATGACTACTAAACATATTTATATTTTTAATTTTTATCACAAAAAAAAAACATAAAAACGAAAACGTTACTAAATGCACTCTAACAAATTGTGTCATATTGAGTTTATGTCGTATATAACCGGTATATAAATTAATCGAGTCGTGTAATTCTTTGAATTAACTTTACTCAAACTCGATTTATTTATTAATCGTGTCAGTTCGGGTCTACTCATTTATGAAAATAGTAGTTTAAAGAAGATTCAAACCCTCTAATTTACTCCCTTTTTATTCTCTCCCTTTTTCTTTTCCCTCTTTCTCACCGTTACACGTTTTGCACCCGTTTCCATCTGTACAACACCTCAAGTCTCAAGCACATGGCACTCCAAAGCTGAAGTGGCATAGAGGGGGAGGTATAAAGAGATGTAAAAGAATCTCTAGCGGAAGGAGAAAACGGTAGAATGGGGACGGTTGGTATAGAAGTTGAACAAAGAAAATGAAAAGCTTGACCAAAGGCAATGGTGGAACCAAATTTGTAGCTGGCGACGGGATCGACCGTTGTGGTGTGACCGACAAATTGATCAACTAAATTTAGTGATTTATAAATTAAAAAATAATCATTAATTTTTTCCATGCTTTAACATTGCACTCAAAGTCACGCACACGACTTTCTCATGGGCCAACACATATACACTAACCCACAGAAAACACCACACATGCACAAACGTCTGGCAGCACACGATACACACAAAAGACTACAGTACTTGCACACGACACCACCGGTAATTTGTAAAGGCCAAAAGCAACACACATGCAACACCAGCCACCAAGGCAACACCTAAATGAAAAAATCCGAGAAAATAATATCTGTGTAAAGAAATTTTACTTGCCGGAAAAAATGACCGTTCGATAAATTGCTTAACTGATTGATAGACCTGTTTTTAGAGCTACTTGATCCAATTGCGTTTAATTTGCTCAGCGACTCTGATTGATTTACTGTGCATTTCCGACTTGAGGATTCAAAGGATGTTTGTTATCGTTACATACTAAACTCCAAATCAATTTTTGTCCCACCTATCATTCCGTGGACACCCAGAAATGCATATGTGGCCGGAAAGAGTCTAATTAGTGTGACGTGAATTTTTGTCCGCTTAAACCGAAGGTTTTACCGTCAGAAAATTACAAGCCATTTCACCCAATTTTGGAGCATGAAGTATAATAAGCATATGGGGTATGGTGAATTCTTCAGAGTTACGGATTAGTTAGAATTATTGAATTAGCCTCTATTGCACACAAAGTCAATGTCTTCCGATGTGGGATTGCCTTAGGAAAGAGTCTTATTGGCGAAGAGAGGTAAAGGCTACTGGGGATTGGTGCTGCCAAGTCAGCCGAAATCCTTCAAGTGAAGGGATGAGATCCGTAGCGATTTCTACCCCTTACAAAAAGGTGCGCCAATAGGACCCTTTCCTAATGCAATCCCACATCGGAAGAGAGTCGTCTTCCCCCCTCGCATATAAGTCCTTGCACTCAAAGGAGGAGGTACCCACTAGCGACCTGATCAGGTGCCTAGTGGGTACCTTCTCCTTTGAGTGCAAGGGCTTATATGCGAGGGGGGAAGACGACTCTCTTCCGATGTGGGATTGCCTTAGGAAAGGGTCCTATTGGCGAAGAGAGGTAAAGGCTACTGGGGGGTCGCCCGCGTGGGTTAACCCAGGTCAAGCCGAAATCCTGAGTGGAGGGTTCTACCCCTTACAAAAAGGCGCCTTTTTGTAAGGGATAGAACTATCTACTCAGGATTTCGGCTTGACCTGGGTTAACCCACGCGGGCGACCCCCCAGTAGCCTTTACCTCTCTTCGCCAATAGGACCCTTTCCTAAGGCAATCCCACATCGGAAGAGAGTCGTCTTCCCCCCTCGCATATAAGTCCTTGCACTCAAAGGAGGAGGTACCCACTAGCGACCTGATCAGGTGCCTAGTGGGTACCTTCTCCTTTGAGTGCAAGGGCTTATATGCGAGGGGGGAAGACGACTCTCTTCCGATGTGAGATTGCCTTAGGAAAGAGTCCTATTGGCGAAGAGAGGTAAAGGCTACTGGGACTCGGTGCCGCCAGGTCAGCCGAAATCCTTCAAGTGGAGGGATGAGATCCGTAGCGATTTCTACCCCTTACACCTATCTCGGGTGAATATTTGCTATGTTACTGAATATATATAAGATTNAAAAATTAGTTAAAAAAATATGGAAACACTATTATAATACCAAACATATTTTTTTTTATTTTCATAAATTTTTAAATATAAATGACTACTAAACATATTTATATTTTTAATTTTTATCACAAAAAAAAAACATAAAAACGAAAACGTTACTAAATGCACTCTAACAAATTGTGTCATATTGAGTTTATGTCGTATATAACCGGTATATAAATTAATCGAGTCGTGTAATTCTTTGAATTAACTTTACTCAAACTCGATTTATTTATTAATCGTGTCAGTTCGGGTCTACTCATTTATGAAAATAGTAGTTTAAAGAAGATTCAAACCCTCTAATTTACTCCCTTTTTATTCTCTCCCTTTTTCTTTTCCCTCTTTCTCACCGTTACACGTTTTGCACCCGTTTCCATCTGTACAACACCTCAAGTCTCAAGCACATGGCACTCCAAAGCTGAAGTGGCATAGAGGGGGAGGTATAAAGAGATGTAAAAGAATCTCTAGCGGAAGGAGAAAACGGTAGAATGGGGACGGTTGGTATAGAAGTTGAACAAAGAAAATGAAAAGCTTGACCAAAGGCAATGGTGGAACCAAATTTGTAGCTGGCGACGGGATCGACCGTTGTGGTGTGACCGACAAATTGATCAACTAAATTTAGTGATTTATAAATTAAAAAATAATCATTAATTTTTTCCATGCTTTAACATTGCACTCAAAGTCACGCACACGACTTTCTCATGGGCCAACACATATACACATGACACATATACACTAACCACAGAAAACACCACACATGCACAAACGTCTGGCAGCACACGATACACACAAAAGACTACAGTACTTGCACACGACACCACCGGTAATTTGTAAAGGCCAAAAGCAACACACATGCAACACCAGCCACCAAGGCAACACCTAAATGAAAAAATCCGAGAAAATAATATCTGTGTAAAGAAATTTTACTTGCCGGAAAAAATGACCGTTCGAATAAATTGCTTAACTGATTGATAGACCTGTTTTTAGAGCTACTTGATCCAATTGGTTTAATTTGCTCAGCGACTCTGATTGATTTACTGTGCATTTCCGACTTGAGGATTCAAAGGATGTTTGTTATCGTTACATACTAAACTCCAAATCAATTTTTGTCTCACCTATCATTCCGTGGACACCCAGAAATGCATATGTGGCCGGAAAGAGTCTAATTAGTGTGACGTTGTGAATTTTTGTCCGCTTAAACCGAAGGTTTTACCGTCAGAAAATAACATGCCATTTCACCCAATTTTGGAGCATGAAGTATAATAAGCATATGGGGTGGTGAATTCTTCAGAGTTACGGATTAGTTAGAATTATTGAATTAGCCTTTATTGCACACAAAGTCAGTGTGCATAAATCTAGATCCTACATCTTAATTCCTATCTCGCGTGAATATTTGCTATGTTACTGAATATATATAAGATTAACATTACATAATTGAAAGAGGAGAGACTGAATTAGGTAAAAGATGCATAATAAAATTCAGAAAAATAAAGACTAATTATTCTAATTATAAAATTTCTAACAGCCACCACAACAACAAAATTGAATTACAGAATTTTTTTTTTTTGATACTCAAATTTGCCTCAATTGCTAGTTTGATCATCAGATTCTTGATCTTCGGGCGACATCGTAGAATTTTTATCTTCCCATTGAATAGTTCCTATTTTTGAGAATTTCTTCTTTTTTCGGTGCCAATGGAAATGACCTCTATTGCCTTAAGTTCTTCACTAATCTCCCAAACTTTTGCATCATAGATCTCCATCTTGTTCCTCGTTTCTCTAAGCTCTTTACGAGTCATGTTTAGCTGATGGACCTCTGCACCATAACATTTCAGCAGATGAGATGTGCGTGAAAGGGGAATTCGAGCCATGACTAGTGAGAGAGAGAATGGTAGCCTGATATGGCTTTTGAAATGTATTGAAAAAGGAAGGTTGGGGTAAGGTATTTTTAGGTGGTTTCCCAAAATCCCTGGCCTGTTGTAGAACAAGTTTCCTACTCTCATTATATAGATATATAATAAGGACAAACATCACTTTATCTCTATGTGATGTGGTGAATTCTTCAAAGTGACGGATTAGTTAGAGTTACTGAATTAGCCTCTGTGCACACAAAGTCAGGGTGCATAAATCTAGGTCCTACATCCTAATTCCTACCTCAGGTGAATATTTGCTATGTTTCTAAACTTGTATAAGATCAACATTACATAATTGAAAGAGGAGAGACTGAATTAGGTAAAAAATGCATAACAAAACCCAGCGAAATCAAGACCAATTATTCTAATTCTAAAATTTCTAACCACCACCACAACAACAAAATTGAAGTACAATTTTTTTTTTCATACTTAAATTTGCGTCATTTGCCAGTTTGATCACCAAATTCTTGATCTTCGGGCGACACAGGAAAATTTTTATCTTCCCATCGAATACTTCCTATTTTTCAGAATTTCAATCTCTTTTTTGGTGCCAATGGAAATAACCTATATTGCCTAAAGTTCTTCACCAATCTCCCAAACTTTTGCATCACAGATCTCCATCTTGTTCCTCAATCTCTAAACTCTTTACGAGCCTTGTTTAGCTGATGGACCTCCGCACAATAACATTTCAGCATACCAGATGTGTCTGAAAGCGGAGTTTGAGCCATGACTGGTGAGAGAGAATGGTAGCCTGATAAGGCTTTTGAAATGTAAAGGGAAGGTTGGGGTAAGGTATTTATAGGTGGTTTCCCAAAATCTCTGGCCCTCTTGTAGAGTAAGTTTTCTACTCTCATTATATAGATATATAATAAGGACAAACTTCACTTTATCTCTCTGTGGTGTGGCGGATTCTTTAGAGTCATGGATTAGTTAGAGTTACTGAATTAGCCTCTGTGCACACAAAGTCAGGGTGCATAAATTTAGATCCTACATACTAATTCCTACCTTTGGTGAATATTTGCTATGTTTCTAAACTTGTATAAGATCAACATTACATAATTGAAAGAGGAGAGACTGAATCAGGTAAAAGATGCATACTAAAACCCAGCAAAATCAAGACTAATTATTCTACTTCTAAAATTTTCTAACAACCACCGCAACAACAAACTTGAAGTGCAGATTTTTCTTTTTTTTTTTTTGATATTCAAATTTGCGTCTTTTGCCAGTTTGATCATCAGATTCTTGATCTCCGGGCGACACCACAAAATTTTTATCTTCCCACTTAGTACTTCATATTTTTTAGAATTTCATCTCTTTTTCGGCGCCAATGGAAATGACCTCTATTGCCTGAAGTTCTTCACCAATCTCCTAAACTTTTGCATTACAGATCTCCAACTTGTTCCTAGCTTCTCTAAGCTTTTTATGAGCCTTGTTTAGCTGATGGACCTCTGCACCATAATATTTCAGCAGGCGAGATATGCGTGAAAGGAGAGTTCGAGCCACGACTGGTGAGAGAGAGAATGGTAACCTGATAGGGCTTTTGAAATGTACTGAAAGGGAAAGGCTGGGGTAACGTATTTATAGGTGGTTTCCCAAAATCTCTGGCCCTCTTGTCGAGCAAGTTTCATTCTCTTATTATATAGATATATAATAAGGACAAACTTTACTTTATCTCTCTGTGGTGTGGTGGATTCTTCAGAGTCACGGATTAGTTAAAGTTACTGAATTAGCCTCTGTGCACACAAGGTCAGGGTGTATAAATCTAGATCCTACATCCTAATCCCTACCTCTGGTGAATATTTTCTATGTTTCTAAACTTGTATAAGATCAACATTACATAATTGAAAGAGGATAGACTAAATCGGGAAAAAGATGCATAATAAAATCCAAAAAAATCAAGACTAATTATTCTAATTCTAAAATTTTCTAACAACCACCACAACAACAAAATTGTGGTGCAGATTTTTTTTTTTGATACTCAAATTTGCTTCATTTTCCAGTTTGATCATCAGATTCTTGATCTTCGGGTGACGCCGCAGAATTTTTATCTTCCCACTGAATACTTCCTATTTTTGAAAATTTCATCTATTTTTTGGAGCCAATGGAAATGACCTCTATTGCCTGATGTTCTGCACCAATCTCTCAAACTTTTGCATCACAGATCTCTAACTTGTTCCTCGCTTCTCTAAGCTCTTTACGAGCATTGTTTAGCTGATGGACCTCCACACCATAACATTTCAGCAGGCGAGATATGCGTTAAAGGGGAGTTCGAGCCATGACTGAGAGAGAGAATGGTAGCCTGATAGGGCTTTTGAAATGTACTGAAAAAAGAAGGTTGGGGTAACGTATTTATAGGTGGTTTCCCAAAATCCCTGGCCCTCTTGTCAAGCAAGTTTCCTTCTCTTATTATATAGATATGTAATAAGGACAAACTTCACTTTATCTCTTTGTCGTGTGGTGAATTCTTCAGAGTCACGGATTAGTTAGAGTTACTGAATTAGTCTTTATGCACACAAAGTCAGGGTGCATAAATCTAGATCCTACATCCTAATTCCTACCTCTAGTAAATATTTGCTATGTTTTTAAACTTGTATAAGATCAACATTACGTAATTGAAATAGGAGAGACTGAATCAGGTAAAAGGTGCATAATAAGACCAAGCAAAAATCAAAACTAATTATTCTAATTCTAAAATTTTCTAACAACCACTGCAACAACAATATTGAAGTGCAGAATTTTTTTTTTTGATACTCAAATTGGCGTCTTTTGCCAGCTTGGTCATCAGATTCTTGATCTTCGAGCGACACTGTAGAATTTTTATCTTCCCACTGAATACTTCCTATTTTTGAGAATTGCATCTCTATTTCGGTGCCAATGGAAATGACCTCTATTGCCGGAAGTTCTTCACCAATCTCCCAAACTTTTGCATCACGGATCTCCATCTTATACCTCGCTTCTCTAAGCTCTTTACTAGCCTTGTTTAGCTAATGGACCTCCACACCATATCATTTCAGCAAGGGAGATGTGCGTGAACGGGGAGTTCAAGCCATGACTGGTGAGGGAGAGAATGGTAGCTTGATAGGGCTTTTAAAATGTACTAAAAATAGAAGGTTAGGGTAAGGTATTTATAGGTGCGTTCCCAAAATCCCTGACCCACTTGTAGGGCAAGTTTCAGACTCTCATTATATAGATATATTATAAAGACAAACTTCACTTTATCTCTCTGTGGTGTGGTTACGGATTAGTTAGAGTTACTGAATTAGCCTCTATGCACACAAAGTCAGGGTGCATAAATCTAGATCCTACATCCTAATTCCTACCTCTAGTAAATATTTGCTATGTTTTTAAACTTGTATAAGATCAACATTACGTAATTGAAATAGGAGAGACTGAATCAGGTAAAAGGTGCATAATAAGACCAAGCAAAAATCAAAACTAATTATTCTAATTCTAAAATTTTCTAACAACCACTGCAACAACAATATTGAAGTGCAGAATTTTTTTTTTTGATACTCAAATTGGCGTCTTTTGCCAGCTTGGTCATCAGATTCTTGATCTTCGAGCGACACTGTAGAATTTTTATCTTCCCACTGAATACTTCCTATTTTTGAGAATTGCATCTCTTTTTCGGTGCCAATGGAAATGACCTCTATTGCCGGAAGTTCTTCACCAATCTCCCAAACTTTTGCATCACGGATCTCCATCTTATACCTCGCTTCTCTAAGCTCTTTACTAGCCTTGTTTAGCTAATGGACCTCCACACCATATCATTTCAGCAAGGGAGATGTGCGTGAACGGGGAGTTCAAGCCATGACTGGTGAGGGAGAGAATGGTAGCTTGATAGGGCTTTTAAAATGTACTAAAAATAGAAGGTTAGGGTAAGGTATTTATAGGTGCGTTCCCAAAATCCCTGACCCACTTGTAGGGTAAGTTTCAGACTCTCATTATATAGATATATTATAAAGACAAACTTCACTTTATCTCTCTGTGGTGTGGTTACGGATTAGTTAGAGTTACTGAATTAGCCTCTATGCACACAAAGTCAGGGTGCATAAATCTAGATCCTACATCCTAATTCCTATCTCTAGTGAATATTTGCTATGTTTTTAAACTTGTATAAGATCAATGTTATGTAATTGAAAGAGGAGAGACTGAATCAGATAAAAGGTGCATAATAAAACCTAGCAAAAATCAAGACTAATTATTCTAATTCTAAAATTTTCTAACAACCACCGCAACAACAATATTGAAGTACAAATTTTTTTTTGATACTCAAATTTGCGTCATTTTCCAGTTTGATCATCAGATTCTAGATCTTTGGGCGACACCGCAAAATTTTTATCTTCCCACTGAATACTTCCTATTTTTGAGAATTGCATCTCTTTTTCGGTGCCAATGGAAATGACCTCTATTGCCGGAAGTTCTTCACCAATCTCCCAAACTTTTGCATCACGGATCTCCATCTTATACCTCGCTTCTCTAAGCTCTTTACTAGCCTTGTTTAGCTAATGGACCTCCACACCATATCATTTCAGCAAGGGAGATGTGCGTGAACGGGGAGTTCAAGCCATGACTGGTGAGGGAGAGAATGGTAGCTTGATAGGGCTTTTAAAATGTACTAAAAATAGAAGGTTAGGGTAAGGTATTTATAGGTGCGTTCCCAAAATCCCTGACCCACTTGTAGGGTAAGTTTCAGACTCTCATTATATAGATATATTATAAAGACAAACTTCACTTTATCTCTCTGTGGTGTGGTTACGGATTAGTTAGAGTTACTGAATTAGCCTCTATGCACACAAAGTCAGGGTGCATAAATCTAGATCCTACATCCTAATTCCTATCTCTAGTGAATATTTGCTATGTTTTTAAACTTGTATAAGATCAATGTTATGTAATTGAAAGAGGAGAGACTGAATCAGATAAAAGGTGCATAATAAAACCTAGCAAAAATCAAGACTAATTATTCTAATTCTAAAATTTTCTAACAACCACCGCAACAACAATATTGAAGTACAAATTTTTTTTTGATACTCAAATTTGCGTCATTTTCCAGTTTGATCATCAGATTCTAGATCTTTGGGCGACACCGCAAAATTTTTATCTTCCCACTGAATACTTCCTATTTTTGAGAATTGCATCTCTTTTTCGGTGCCAATGGAAATGACCTCTATTGCCGGAAGTTCTTCACCAATCTCCCAAACTTTTGCATCACGGATCTCCATCTTATACCTCGCTTCTCTAAGCTCTTTACTAGCCTTGTTTAGCTAATGGACCTCCACACCATATCATTTCAGCAAGGGAGATGTGCGTGAACGGGGAGTTCAAGCCATGACTGGTGAGGGAGAGAATGGTAGCTTGATAGGGCTTTTAAAATGTACTAAAAATAGAAGGTTAGGGTAAGGTATTTATAGGTGCGTTCCCAAAATCCCTGACCCACTTGTAGGGTAAGTTTCAGACTCTCATTATATAGATATATTATAAAGACAAACTTCACTTTATCTCTCTGTGGTGTGGTTACGGATTAGTTAGAGTTACTGAATTAGCCTCTATGCACACAAAGTCAGGGTGCATAAATCTAGATCCTACATCCTAATTCCTATCTCTAGTGAATATTTGCTATGTTTTTAAACTTGTATAAGATCAATGTTATGTAATTGAAAGAGGAGAGACTGAATCAGATAAAAGGTGCATAATAAAACCTAGCAAAAATCAAGACTAATTATTCTAATTCTAAAATTTTCTAACAACCACCGCAACAACAATATTGAAGTACAAATTTTTTTTTGATACTCAAATTTGCGTCATTTTCCAGTTTGATCATCAGATTCTAGATCTTTGGGCGACACCGCAAAATTTTTATCTTCCCACTGAATACTTCCTATTTTTGAGAATTGCATCTCTTTTTCGGTGCCAATGGAAATGACCTCTATTGCCGGAAGTTCTTCACCAATCTCCCAAACTTTTGCATCACGGATCTCCATCTTATACCTCGCTTCTCTAAGCTCTTTACTAGCCTTGTTTAGCTAATGGACCTCCACACCATATCATTTCAGCAAGGGAGATGTGCGTGAACGGGGAGTTCAAGCCATGACTGGTGAGGGAGAGAATGGTAGCTTGATAGGGCTTTTAAAATGTACTAAAAATAGAAGGTTAGGGTAAGGTATTTATAGGTGCGTTCCCAAAATCCCTGACCCACTTGTAGGGTAAGTTTCAGACTCTCATTATATAGATATATTATAAAGACAAACTTCACTTTATCTCTCTGTGGTGTGGTTACGGATTAGTTAGAGTTACTGAATTAGCCTCTATGCACACAAAGTCAGGGTGCATAAATCTAGATCCTACATCCTAATTCCTATCTCTAGTGAATATTTGCTATGTTTTTAAACTTGTATAAGATCAATGTTATGTAATTGAAAGAGGAGAGACTGAATCAGATAAAAGGTGCATAATAAAACCTAGCAAAAATCAAGACTAATTATTCTAATTCTAAAATTTTCTAACAACCACCGCAACAACAATATTGAAGTACAAATTTTTTTTTGATACTCAAATTTGCGTCATTTTCCAGTTTGATCATCAGATTCTAGATCTTTGGGCGACACCGCAAAATTTTTATCTTCCCACTGAATACTTCCTATTTTTGAGAATTGCATCTCTTTTTCGGTGCCAATGGAAATGACCTCTATTGCCGGAAGTTCTTCACCAATCTCCCAAACTTTTGCATCACGGATCTCCATCTTATACCTCGCTTCTCTAAGCTCTTTACTAGCCTTGTTTAGCTAATGGACCTCCACACCATATCATTTCAGCAAGGGAGATGTGCGTGAACGGGGAGTTCAAGCCATGACTGGTGAGGGAGAGAATGGTAGCTTGATAGGGCTTTTAAAATGTACTAAAAATAGAAGGTTAGGGTAAGGTATTTATAGGTGCGTTCCCAAAATCCCTGACCCACTTGTAGGGTAAGTTTCAGACTCTCATTATATAGATATATTATAAAGACAAACTTCACTTTATCTCTCTGTGGTGTGGTTACGGATTAGTTAGAGTTACTGAATTAGCCTCTATGCACACAAAGTCAGGGTGCATAAATCTAGATCCTACATCCTAATTCCTATCTCTAGTGAATATTTGCTATGTTTTTAAACTTGTATAAGATCAATGTTATGTAATTGAAAGAGGAGAGACTGAATCAGATAAAAGGTGCATAATAAAACCTAGCAAAAATCAAGACTAATTATTCTAATTCTAAAATTTTCTAACAACCACCGCAACAACAATATTGAAGTACAAATTTTTTTTTGATACTCAAATTTGCGTCATTTTCCAGTTTGATCATCAAATTCTAGATCTTTGGGCGACACCGCAGAATTTTTGTCTTCCCACTGAATACTTCCTATTTTTGAGAATTACATCTCTTTTTCGGTGCCAATGGAAATGACCTTTATTGCTGGAAGTTCTTCACCAATCTCCCAAACTTTTGAATCACGGATCTCCATCTTATTCCTCGCTTCTCTAAGCTCTTTACGAGCCTTGTTTAGCTAATGGACCTCCACACCATATCATTTCAGCAGGCGAGATGTGCATGAAAGGGGAGTTCGAGCCATGATAGGTGAGAGAGAATGGAAGCCTTATAGGGCTTTTGAAATGTACTGAAGAGGGAAGGTTGGGATAAGGTATTTATAGGTGATTTTCCAAAATCCCTGACCCTCTCGTAGAGCAAGTTCTCTACTCTCATTATATAGATATATAATAAGGACAAACTTCACTTTATCTCTCTGTGGTGTGGTGGATTCTTCAGAGTCATGGATTAGTTAGAGTTATTGAAATATCCTCTATGCACACAAGGTCAGGGTGCATAAATCTTGGTCCTACATCCTAATTCCTACCTCGGGTGAATATTTGCTATGTTTCTAAACTTGTATAAGATCAACATTACATAATTGAATGAGGAGAGACTAAATCAGGTAAAAGATGCATAATAAAACCCAGCAAAATCAAGACTAATTATTCAAATTCTAAAATTTTCTAACAACCACCGCAACAACAATATTGAAGTGAATTTTTTTTTTGATACTCAAATTTGCGTCATTTGCCAGTGTGGTCATCAGATTCTTGATCTTTGGGCGACACCGCAAAATTTTTATCTTCCCATTGAATAATTCCTATTTTTGAGAATTTCATCTCTTTTCGGTGGCAATGGAAATGACCTCTATTGCCAAAAGTTCTTCACCAATCTCCCAAATCTTTACATCACAGATCTCCATCTTGTTCCACGCTTCTCTAAGCTCTTTACGAGCCTTGTTTAGTTGATCGAGCATTGCACCATAACATTTCAGCAGGCGAGATATGCATGAAAGGGGAATTCGAGCCTTGACTGGTGAGAGAGAGAATGGAAGCCTGATAGGTCTCTTGAAATGTACTGAAAAGGGAAGGTTGGGGTAAGGTATTTATTGGTGGTTTCCTAAAATCCTTGGCCCCCTTGTAGAACAAGTTTCCTTATCTCATTATATAGATATATAATACGGACAAATTTCACTTTATCTCTCTGTGGTGTGGTGAATTCTGCAGAGTCACGAATTAGTTAGAGTTAATGAATTAACCTCTGTTCACACCAAGTCTGGGTGCATAAATCAGAATCCTACATCCTAATACCTACCTTTGGTGAATATTTTCTATGTTTCTAAACTTGTGTAAGATCAACGTTATGTAAATGAAAGAGGAGAGACTGAATCAGGTAAAAGGTGCATAATAAAACCTAGCAAAAATCAAGACTAATTATTCTAATTCTAAAATTTTCTAACAACCACCGCAACAACAATATTGAAGTACAAATTTTTTTTTGATACTCAAATTTGCGTCATTTTCCAGTTTGATCATCAGATTCTTGATCTTTGGGCGACACCGCAAAATTTTTATCTTCCCACTGAATACTTCCTATTTTTGAGAATTACATCTCTTTTTCGGTGCCAGTGGAAATGACCTCTATTGCCGGAAGTTCTTCACCAATCTCCCAAACTTTTGCATCACGAATCTCCATCTTATTCCTCGCTTCTCTAAGCTCTTTACGAGCCTTGTTTAGCTAATGGACCTCCACACCATATCATTTCAGCAGGTGAGATGTGCATGAAAGGGTAGTTCGAGCCATGATAGGTGAGAGAGAGAATGGAAGCCTGATAGGGCTTTTGAAATGTACTGAAGAGGGAAGGTTGGGATAAGGTATTTATAGGTGGTTTCCCAAAATCTCTGGCCTTCTTGTAGAGCAAGATTTATGCTCTCATTATATAGTCAGGGTGCATAAATCTTGGTCCTACATCCTAATTCCTACCTCGGGTGAATATTTGCTATGTTTCTAAACTTGTATAAGATCAACATTACATAATTGAAAGAGGGGAGACTGAATCAGGTAAAAGATGCATAATAAAAACCAACAAAATCAAGACTAATTATTCTAATTCTAAAATTTTCTAACTACCACCGCAACAACAATATTGAAGTGCAAAATATTTTTTTTTTGATACTCAAATTTGCGTCATTTGCCAGTGTGATCATCAGATTCTTGATCTTTGGGGGATGCCGCAGAATTTTTATCTTCCCATTGAATAATTCCTATTTTTGAGAATTTTTATCTCTTTTTTCGGTGGCAATGGAAATGACCTCTATTGCCTGAAGTTCTTCACCAATCTCCCAAATTATTGCATCACAGATCACGATCTTGTTCCACGCTTCTCTAAGCTCTTTACGAGCCTTGTTTAGTTGATCGAGCTCCGCACCATAACATTTCAGCATGTGAGATATGCATGANCGCTTCTCTAAGCTCTTTACGAGCCTTGTTTAGTTGATCGAGCTCCGCACCATAACATTTCAGCAGGTGAGATATGCATGAAAGGGGAGTTCAAGCCTTGACTGGTGAAGGAGAGAATGGTAGCCTGATGGGGCTTTTGAAATGTACTGAAAAGGGAAGGTTGGGGGTAAGGTATTTATTGGTGGTTTCCTAAAATCTCTAGCCCTCTTGTAGAGCAAGTTTCCTTCTCTCATTATACAGATACATAATACGGAAAAATTTCACTTTATCTCTTTGTGGTGTGGTGAATCTTCAGAGTCACAAATTAGTTAGAGTTATTGAATTGGCCTCTGTGCACACAAAGTCTGGGTGCATAACTCAAAATCCTACATCCTAATACCTACCTCTGGTGAATATTTTCTATGTTTCTAAACGTGTGTATGATCAACGTTACGTAAATGAAAGAGGAGAGACTGAATCAGGCAAAAGATGCATAATAAAACCCAGCAAAAATCAAGACTAATTATTCTAATTCTAAAATTCTCTAACAACCACCACAACGACATAATTGAAGTGCAGAATTTTTTTTTTGATACTCAAATTTACGTCATTTGCCAATTTGATCATCAAATTCTTGATCTTTGGGCGACATCGCAGAATTTTTATCTTCCTTATGAATGCTTCTTATTTTTGAGAATTTCATCTCTTTTTCGGTGCCAATGGAAATGACCTCTATTTCCTTTAGGTCTTCACCGATCTCCCAAACTTTTGCATCACGGATCTCCATCTTGTTCCTCGCATCTCTAATCTCTTCACAAGCCTTGTTTAGCTGATGGACCTCCGCACCATATCATTTCAGCAGACGAGATATGCGTGAAAGGGCAGTTCGAGCCATGACTGGTGTGAGAGAGAATGGTAGCCTGATCAGGCTATTGAAATGTACTGAAAATAAAAGGTTAGGATAAGGTATTTATAGGTGGTTCTCCAAAATCCCTAACCCTCTTGTAGAGCAAGTTTCCTACTCTCATTATATAGATATACTATAAGGACAACCTTCATTTTATCTCTCTGTGGTGTGGTGAATTCTTCAGAGTCAAGGATTAGTTAGAGTTACTGAATTAGCCTATGTGCACACAAAGTCAGAGTGCATAAATCTAGATCCTACATCCTAATTCCTACCTCTGGTGAATATTTACTACGTTTCTAAACTTGTATAAGATCAACATTACAAAATTGAAAGAGGAGAGACTGAATCAGGTAAAAGATGCATAATAAAACCCATCAAAAATAAAGACTAATTATTCTAATTCCAAAATTTTCTAACAACCACCGCAACAACAAAATTGAAGTGCATAATTTCTTTTTTTTGATACTCAAATTTGTGTCATTTGCCAGTTTGATCATCAGATTCTTGATCTTCGGGCGACATCGCAGAATTTTTATCTTCCCACTAAATACTTCCTATTTTTGAGAATTTCATCTCTTTTTCGGGGCCAATGGAAATGACCTCTATTGCCTGAAATTCTTCACCAATCTCCCAAACTTTTGCATCACAGATCTCCATCTTGTTCCACGCTTCTCTAAGCTCTTTACGAGCCTTGTTTAGCTGATGGAGCTCCGCACCATAACATTTCAGTAGGCAAGATGTGCGTGAAAGGGGAGTTCGAGCCTTGAGTGGGGTGGGAGAGAATGGTAGCCTGATAGGGCTTTTGAAATGTACTAAAAAGGGAAGGTTGGGATAAGGCTTTTATTAGTGGTTTCCCAAAATCCCTGGCCCTCTTGAAGAGCAAGTTTCCTTCTCTCATTATATAGATATATAATAAGGAAAAATTTCACTTTACCTCTTTGTGGTGTGGTTAATTCTCCAGAGTCACAAATTAGTTAGAGTTATTGAACTAGCCTCTATGCACACAAAGTCTAGGTCCATAAATCCGGATCCTACATCCTAATTTGTACGTCTGGTGAATAATTATAATGTTTCAAAACTTGTATAAGATCAACATTACATAATTGAAAGAGGAGAGACTGAATCAGGTAAAAGATGCATAATAAAACCCATAAAAAATCAAGACTAATTATTCTAATTCTAAAATTTTCTAACAACCACCGCAACAAGTGCAATTTTTTTTTTTTTGATACTCAAATTTGCGTCATTTGCCAATTTGATCATTAGATTCTTGATCTTCGGGGGACACCACATAAATTTTATCTTCCCATTGAATACTTCCTATTTTTTAAAAATTTCATCTCTGTTTCAGTGTCAATGGAAATGACCTCTATTGCTTGAAGTTCTTCACCAATCTCCCAAACTTTTGCATCACAGATCTCCATCTTGTTCCTCGCTTGTCTATGCTCTTTACGCACCTTGTTTAGCTGATGGACCTCCGCACCATATCATTTAACCAGGCGAGATGTGCGTGAAAAGGGAGTTCAAGCCATGATCGGTGAGGGAGAGAATTATAGCCTGATAGGGCTTTTGAAATATACTGAGAAGGGAACGTTGGGGTAAGGTATTTATAGGTGGTTTTTCAAAATCTCTGGCCCTCTTGTAGGGTAAGTTTCCTACTCTCATTATATAGATATACTTCTTCAAAGTCATGGATTAGTTAGAGTTACTGAATTAGCCTCTGTCCACACAAAGTCAGGGTGCATAAATCTAGATCCTACATCCTAATTCCTACCTTCGGTGAATGTTTGCCATGTTTATAAACTTGTATAAGATCAACATTACATAATTGAAAGAGGAGAGACTGAATTAGGTAAAAGATGCATAATAAAACCCATCAAAAATCAAGACTAATTATTCTAATTGTAAAATTTTCTAACAACCACCGCAACAGCAAAATTGAAGTGCATAATTTTTATTTTTTTTTGATACTCAAATTTGCATCATTTGCCAGCTTGATTATCAGATTCTTGATCTTCGGGTGACATCGTAGAATTTTTTTCTTCCCACATAATACTTTTTATTTTTGAGAATTTCATCTCTTTTCCAGTGCAAATGGAAATGACCTCTATTGCCTAAAGTTTTTCTCCAATCTCCCAAACTTTTGCGTTACAGATCTCCATTTTGTTCCTCGCTTCTCTAAGCTCTTTGCGAGCCTTGTTTAGCTGATGGACCTCCGCACCATAACATTTCAGCAGGCGAGATGTGCGTGAAATGGGAATTTGAGCCATGAGTGGTGAGAGAGAGAGAATGGTAGCCTGATAGGGCTTTTGAAATGTACCGAAAAAGGAAGGTTGGGATAAGGTATTTATAGGTTGTTTCCCAAAATCCCTGGCCCTCTTGTAAAGCAAGTTTCCTACTCTCATTATATAGATATATAACAAGGACGAACTTCAATCTCTCTGTAGTGTGGTGAATTCATCAGAGTCACGAATTAGTTAGAGTTACTGAATTAGCCTCTGTGCACACAAAGTCAGGGTGCATAAATCTAGATCCCACATCCTAATTCCTACCTCTGGTGAATATTTGTTATGTTTTTATACTTGTATAAGATCAACATTACATAATTGAAAGTAGAGAGACTGAATCAGGTAAAAGATGCATAATAAAACCCATCAAAAATCAAGACTAATTATTCTAATTCTAAAATTTTCTAACAACCACCGCAACAACAAAATTGAAGTGCAAAATTTTTTTTTATACTCAAATTTGCGTCATTTGCCAGTTTGATTATCCCACTGAATACTTCCCTCTTTTTGAGAAGGATGAGCCGTTTCATCTCTTTTTCGGTGCCAATGGAAATGACTTCTATTACCTGAAGTTCTTTAGCAATCTCCCAAACTTTTTGAGCCTTGTTTAGTTGATGGACTTTTGCACTATAACGTTTCAATAGGCGAGATATGCGTGAATTGGGAGTTGGAGCCATGACCGGTGAAAAGGAATGGTAGCCTGATAGGGTTTTTGAAATGTACTGAAAAGGGAAGCCCCAAAACAATGTTGCCTAAACTCATCTGTGGTGTATTAAGAAATTATAGAAAATCATTTTTGTCTTGCATTTCATCAGTTTTTTGTAATCTAAATCTAATTAACTAGTGAGTGATAATTCATGAGTGTTTTTATTTTGAGAGGAAATGACAGATTTTTTTTATTCATAATGAATGTCTAAAAAGAAGAGGGCATTACAAACTCAAGAGGCTACTCCAACCAAATAATTGAACCCTCGATGAAACTCACATGTTTTGCTAACCTATATGCTAGTCGATTGTCATTTCTTTGTATTAGAGATAAGGCTTTAAATATCATCCCATTGGAGTCTTAAAAAAAAAAGCCGCAACAAATCAATAAGAGTGGAAGGGAGGGAAATACTTGGAAAGAACTGGTGAGAATGGATGAAGAGAGTTAAAGGAATGTGAAAGAGACTTCTACTTTTAAAGATAGAAGTCGTTATTTTTAGAATTCTTTATTATATTTTAAGACTTTCTATAAGACTTTACATAGACTTGTGAACATAGTATTACATTTTAGGACTTTCTATAAAGTTTTACATAAAATTGTGAAATATATTAAACTTTTAACTTGGTCCATTTAAAATAATTTCAAAACATGAAGCTGAATTAAGGACTAAAAATTAAATTAGGGCCTTAAATTTTTGGGAATTCTAGGTGATTATTTTAATGGTCGGGCCAACCCTGTTGTTCCTCCTTCCATTCCAAAATCAAAGTGTCTGTGCATTTTGCAACGATCATAGTCTATGCGCACCCCTCATTGTTGTGTCTCTGTCTCTATGTGGTGCCGCATAGTTTTTCTTTATTGGTAATTTAGGCATTTAAAATATGTTAAGCATTACATATGTGATATTTCATACCCATATTATCTGCATGCAACTATTTAATAGTATAATTCATATGAACTATAAATATATATAAATTATCATAACTAAGTACACTCTTTTTAGCAAACAGATCTACACATCTATTTGTCTCTCTCATCTCTTGTTTGACCTCACACCCTCTTAAATCTCTTAATTAGCCCATCATGGTTTCTTAATACACTTTGAGGTTCACGGCGGTGACTCTAAATGAAACTTTCGTAATTTTTTATTATTAATTTAAAGAAATTCTCGTTTTTTGAGATGGTAATTATTAGTCAAATTTTGCACTCTAGTTTTATACACGTTCTTCTTTTTTTTTTTGTAATTGATCACATAACTAATTGACCTAAATTTTTTTTAATTTTATGAAATCTATTTTTATTTATTTATCTAAATTGATTGTAAATATTTTTGTTATGCTGTGGTCTTTACTAGTGACAAATATATTTAAGAATATTTACAAGTGTAAATTACACAATGTCACCCTGAACTTAATGTCAGTTGCACATCCACCCCCCAACAATTACGAGTTATTCTTAACCCCTTCATACTTGTGAATAAAGTGAAAATCTAATAGAATTTGTTTATTGTAATGGCGCCGCTATTATATGCTCTAATTAAGCGCGTGTGTTATAAAATAAATAATTTATTTCTTAAATTAAGAAATCATATTATCAATTTTACCCTTCATCCAAATTTTCAACCCCCTTCTTTCTCCAGCCCTTTCACTGGCACAATCCACACCACCACTGCAAACTCCCCTCTTTCTCCTTCTCTCCAACCCCATAGCTGTTGCAACTCCCCCCACCCCAACCCTCCCCATGCCAATACAACTTATCCACCTAACCCTCTCACAATCACTGTGACTCCCCCACCCAAATCCACCCCAACACCGCTACAACTCTCCTAATCCACAGTCACGGTGATTCCCTTACTCCTCACCACTACAAATCCCCTATCTTCCAGTTGCTACAAATCCCCTGAAATCCATGTTTGAGTTGAACAACCTTTTGATTTTGGTCCAATCTTTGATTCTAGTTTTAATTTGAATGTTATTTTTTTGAGTTTGATTATGGTTTTTGACACAATGAATGTGCATTGGTAGTGTGTTGGTGGATGGTGTTTGGAAGGGGTGTGCTGAAGGAGCTTTGAGCTTTTGACTATTGTGTCAATAGGGTTTTGTGGAATTTGAGTTGGCTATGGAAGAGGGAGTTTCTAGTGGGGTAGGGCAGTGGTGGTGGCCCTGGTGGGGGTAAAGCAATTGTGGTGGTTGAGAGAGGAGCGTACCTATTTTTTTTTTTTTTTTTGGGGGGGGGATGGGGTTAGACATTGGAATGGATGACATTACAAAGGAAATTAGAAGAAAAATATAGAGCATTTTAGTCATTTTGTAAAAATCGTTAGGTCTATCACAATTTGTACTTTATTCACAAGTAAGAGGGGGAGGGGTTTAAATATAACTCGTAATTGTTGATGGGTGCAATATGCAACTGACCTTAAGTTTAAGCCAACTTTATATAATTTACTTTATTTACAAATCAACCAAATACAAAACATTACTATCTAAAACATTTATATATTATAAAACAAGAAGACTTAATTTATTGTTGTGACCCACAAAATTGAGATATGGTAAAAGGATTCTCCCCCAAAATCGCCTGTTAGAAAAAATATTTACAAAAGTATTGCACTCATAATAAATAAATAAATAAAAGATAAGCAACATACATGATTTTCAACCAAAAGCAATAAAGTATTGAAAGTACATAATTGTTAAAAGAGATAGACAATTCACTAAATTGGAAAAATAAATAGAATAATAATAATAATAATGAAGAGAATACGCAACTGACAATTAAAAACAAATTGAATTCACCTACTATTGCGTTAGTCCAATACGATTTCGATGTCACCGACTTAAAATTAGTTTTTTTTTCTGCATATAAAATAAAATTTTATATATTTGATTTTCTTTGTACCACACAATCATGCAGTTTTGTGCACTATTCTTTTTTTTTTGGGAGCATTCAACATGGTTAGTTCGAATAAATTGAGGGATTGTAACTTGATGGTACCAACTGATCCTAAGTCATGCATATTCATTCGTGGTAGGGTAATTAGCGTGGCTTAGGGGTGTTTATCCTACCCGTATCCTACCCTACGGGTAAAAAATATAATTTTTCATCTTCCTATCCGATACTTTTTAAAAGAATTTTTTCTTGGGCGATCCTACCCGATCAGGTGCGGTATTCTTACCCGACTTACTATCCGATTAATTGGGTAGGAAGTCGGATAAACACTTTTATAACTATTAATTTTGTGGATCATTTTAACAATTCAATTAAATAAAATTTATCAATTTAACAACACAATAAATCAATAACACTAAAAACTAAAACAACTACAACAACAATTACTCAATTTTTTATGTTAACTAGATAAGTTTTGAAAGCTTAAAAAAAACAGAAAAGTTCTAAGAAATGCTTAAAAAAAACAGAGAATGCCTAAACGGTACTTGNCCATGCGTTCCTCACCTCGTGTCAACCATGTAACAAGGGAACTCAACTAGATCGAATTTTTATCTAAATCTAATTAATAGAATATAAATTAATTTTTTTCTCATAATCCAAATTCGTAATATTATAGTACAAGAAATTCTAGAAAAGATTTAGACAGCTCAGGCTTGAGCATGCAACAAAGCTTGAAAGGTAAAATAGTAGGGGGTGTGTCTATTTGGGGATAAGTGGGGCATAGGAGGTGGAATAGTGTTTATTAGTATACTAGCAATTGTCCGTGCCTAAAGACACTATGTAACAAACAAAAAATTAAAAACAATTATCCATTCTCAAAAGCATTGTATAACACAAAAAAAATCATCAATAAAAAAAACTAATGAAAATTGTCACCCAATATAAGCCCACAATTATTTTTAATTTTTTTCCCTCTAAAGTTCAAAAAAAAGATGCCGAAAAAAATGTCTTTTATTGAGTGCNATGAAAGCCAATAGAGGCAAGAGGAAAGGAGTGGAATGAGACGCTCGCTTAGTTAGTAGACAATAAGGTTGATTAGCAATTAAGATTTTTTAGTTTATATATATATATTAATTAATGCGAATAGGGGTAGGATAAGAATGTAAAAATTGATGAGTATTTCACATTTCTACCCGATTTAATCGAAAGACTAAAAACTCTTCCGCATTCCTACTTAATTTTTGTAGCTGACCGTTCAGTAGGATATGTTAGGATAGAAAATTACGATCAATCAAAAATTTAAACACNAAAAAAAAAAGACATAATAAACTCATATAGACAACGGATGAGCCCCGCTTGAAAAATTCCAGTCTTCTCCAACTCCTCAACAATGACCATGTACATATGCATGACTCAATTAATCCTCTTGCCCTGCACCTCTATACATAGAAAAGAGATATGGGTGACCTCAATATGCATAATTAACCTACTAATTTGATAATAAAACCACAATTCCAAAGAGAGCAACATGTAGATTAGGTTTTAGAGAGAGAATAAGAAATAAAACGGAGCCTGATGATGCACTAAACAATTAAAAGACGGGATCCCAGTTCNTATTATGTTGGCCCTTTTCAGTTCTTTAGTCATAACTCATACCTGAATGTATTATGACTAAAAAATTTGTAAGTCCCAAAAAGTTGAGCCCATTGTATCAAATGGTATTTTTTTTTCCTTCCCTTTCTTTGATTACTTGATTTGAAATTAATTTGTATTCATTATTTCAAAAAAAAAAATTGACAAATTTTTTTCAAAATATATGATCTAAAAAAAATATCAATATGTATACATTATCAAATACGAACAATGTCTAAAATAAAACTTATATTAAGCCATAAATTAATCAAAAATTACATAATTCATTTTTATGTAATTAGAGATGTGATAGAAATAAGCGAAAAAAATATGTAAAAAATTAAATTTAAAAGACTACATAGAAGAAAGAAATATGATAGAGAAGACTTAGTCTGAAATTGGTTAGCATGAAAATGTATGAATTGAGTGGGGATTTCAAGTGTAGGAGGAAAATTTTTTGGAAAAGATTTTGAACCATTGAATTGAATGAATTTCAGCCACTCTTGTGATAGGTTAACTTAAAGATTCAAATTCAATCATGTTTTATTATATAGATTCAAAAAAAAAAAAAAAAAGATTCAGAGGTCAATGTTGACATATCAACCCATGCGTTCCTCACCTCGTGTCAACCATGTAACAAGGGAACTCAACTAGATCGAATTTTTATCTAAATCTAATTAATAGAATATAAATTAATTTTTTTCTCATAATCCAAATTCGTAATATTATAGTACAAGAAATTCTAGAAAAGATTTAGACAGCTCAGGCTTGAGCATGCAACAAAGCTTGAAAGGTAAAATAGTAGGGGGTGTGTCTATTTGGGGATAAGTGGGGCATAGGAGGTGGAATAGTGTTTATTAGTATACTAGCAATTGTCCGTGCCTAAAGACACTATGTAACAAACAAAAAATTAAAAACAATTATCCATTCTCAAAAGCATTGTATAACACAAAAAAAATCATCAATAAAAAAAACTAATGAAAATTGTCACCCAATATAAGCCCACAATTATTTTTAATTTTTTTCCCTCTAAAGTTCAAAAAAAAGATGCCGAAAAAAATGTCTTTTATTGAGTGCCTACAACAATGAGCACTGGTGTGATCACTTAATGATTCCTTTGAAGGATACAACTAAAAAAATTACTAAATACACCTTCTTTGACATTTATGTTTCATGTCAGTTCCAAAGCTAAAAATATATCATAAAGAAAAACAAAATAACCATAAAAAAAAAAAAAAAGACATAATAAACTCATATAGACAACGGATGAGCCCCGCTTGAAAAATTCCAGTCTTCTCCAACTCCTCAACAATGACCATGTACATATGCATGACTCAATTAATCCTCTTGCCCTGCACCTCTATACATAGAAAAGAGATATGGGTGACCTCAATATGCATAATTAACCTACTAATTTGATAATAAAACCACAATTCCAAAGAGAGCAACATGTAGATTAGGTTTTAGAGAGAGAATAAGAAATAAAACGGAGCCTGATGATGCACTAAACAATTAAAAGACGGGATCCCAGTTCTTGATAAACAGAAATCAATTTGATTCAAATAAAACCAATGGCATACCCGCGTATAATAATGCAAGCATTGCCAAGATCACTTCCTTGATTAAAAAGCAAGATGACTATTCAAATTATGGATCAATGCAAGCATTGATCTAGTGCTGCATAGCTACCTTAATAAACATATAATTAATTGGTTCGATGAGATTAAATTTTTTATATGAAGTGTTTAGTAATAAAAAAATAAAAGAAATGAAATCACCAAATGAATTTAAGGTAATTTTTGGGTCAAAGTTATTCAAACAAAATACTAACAATGAGACGATCAAAAAAGGATATCCACCCACATGATTCATCTGCAAGTAAAGAGTACAACATTACAATTCACATCACAAATAGAAGAGGCAGAGAGATAGAACCACAGATAAATATCCAAAGAATACCTGGTGAATCTTTGTTTCCTTTATGGTGAATAATTCTAGTGTAAATTACTTTACCACCAAATGCTCCTACTTTTCATAACAAAGTGAACCACAAACTTATATTTGCATAGGAATACAAAAAAATTCTTAGCTAGAATTGTGGTAAGATTAACAATATAAAACTAAGAAAGTATCCTGGAGGTTAAGCTTGTTCATAAAAAGCTTCCAAGAATTCTAAAAATATGCCAACAAAATAAAAAACATCCAAGCATTCTAAAAATTTTTCCCCCATTATCACAATATTAAAAAACTCAAAAAACAAAAAAGGAAAACTCAATAAATGCTAATCTTTGGCGAAATTCATGAGAGGTTCAACAATAAAACAAATGCCATTAGGGAGAGAGGATACCAAGGGGGAGAGAGGATATTTGCGGGACATTAGGTATTGAATTGGGAGAGACATGGGGATTTGGGGATCACCAATATGGAAAAGATATCTTTTGAATCCCTAATGGGTGTTGTACCCACCTTTCAAATGTCACCTGCATCAAGAACTTTGGAAAAATCAGCACTAATTTCTATCAACCATAATCTCAAGAAATGGGTTTGCAGAATCAATAGAACATAGAATTCGCAAGTTACAAATAAATCAAATTCCATCATATAGAAATATTAACAGTGCATTCTTTCATCCAGACCACCTTGTTTAATCACCATGTGTACCCTGAGTACATTCATAGAGAAATACCAATACTTAAGTTTGCACAGCAATTTTAATCACAAACTAAAAAAAAACACATCACACATAGGTAACACACAGTAGAATATAAAGCTTAGGTTACAAATTTACCCTCACAAAAATATTGCATCAAGGTTGAGAATAAACTTAATAAATGGTAGTAACCATATTTTTTTTTTACAGGACAACTAAGAGTTCACTAAGTGAGTCCATTGAAAAACACCAAAGTTCAAAAGGAATTAAACTCTAATCCTTCAACAATTCAATTCAGATCCAATACACTCAAAACTACCATACCAATTCTCCGCTTAGAGTAGCCCAAAATGCACTATCAACATCTTATATACATCCACAACCGCAAAACACCAAAAAAAAAAAAAAAAGTTAATAAATCAAGTATGCCACCACAATGGCAACGAAAAGGGATCATGATAATAATTTACACTAAAGCCATTCTTCAAATCAATAAATGCTACAAAGAGAAATGACAATATATGATCAAGCTAAACCCAACAATGGTGTGTTGCCAATTAGATTGTACCTCAAGCATTGGGTGCAATAAAATTACCTTGACAATTCATCGAACAGGTGGTACGCAAGGGCTGGAAGGATGGCAAAGGGGGCTGTGTTTTGGGTCTACGGTGATGGAGAATGGGCGAGTGACATAGGGGAAGGAGAAAGAAAGAGAGAGATACATTTGACGTGTTGTCGGAGTCTATGGCGTGGGCTGGCTGTTGTGTGTCTATAGTGGTTTCTGATTTGGGCATGAGTTTGAGGCAGAGGAGGAAAAAGAAAGAGGTTGGGCATGAGTGTGTGAGGCAGATGAGGAAAGAAAGGCGGTGGGCGGTGGCTTGGGCACTTGAGAGACAGACACGGGAGAGTAGAGTTTGAGAGATAGAGAGAGACGTACGTAGGGGGAGATGTATTTCACGTGAGATAAGTCCTTCGCAGTCCTAGAATAAGAGATCTCTTTGAAATTGTTAGGCGGAATGTGTGTGATAAAGAGAAGAGTCTGAGAAAGAGAGGAATATAAGAGAGAGAATAAGAGATAGAACCTTAGAATTGGAAATAGAATCAAACTCTATTTTACATATTGGGGCTGAAAATGAAACTTAAAGCATCAATTATGATCGTCGGATTAATAATCATTAAAACGATCTGAACCGTCTTTTATGTTAAGATTACGTTATTCGTTAAATATGTTTATGTTTTGTCTTAAAACGATCTGAACCTCTCTTTGTCTTTTGAATTCAAACTTTATTCTACTTTATTATATAGATGTATCCTACATATATGTTGTTGGACTTTTCATATTATTCTTGTTTAATTTTAATGTAATCCTTGGATTAACATCCGTTTCAAATTCGGTTAAAAATTAATAAATATATAAAACAAGAATATGAGTTGTGAGTTTATATTTTTGTCCAAAAATAACACACATGAGTGATAAGTGCATTGATTTTTAATGNTAATAAATATATAAAACAAGAATATGAGTTGTGAGTTTATATTTTTGTCCAAAAATAACACACATGAGTGATAAGTGCATTAATTTTTAATATAATTTGAAACAGATATTAGTCTGAGGCTTGAAACTAATTTATGACATTAAGTGGGTAAAGTGTAAACTAATTTTTGAGATATAAAGTTGGAATGGAGACAAAGCGTAAAGTGCCAAAACCCAAAAGCCTATTTCGAGTGGGTGAGTCCTGGGAAGTCCTACGACTTGGGCCAAAGACGCATCCTTTTTCATTCTTCTTCACAAGGGCGTCCAGGGCAAGGGACCATCTTTTTCGTTATTCTTCTCGGCGGGTATTCTAATTCAATTTGCATATCAAAATCTCTCCCTCCAACTGCGTGTGGCCGTGTGTGCCTTTATCTGTCTTTGACTGCGTTGTTCAATCGCTTTTAACTCTAAATATACGTATGCATGCTCCTCAGGTAATAAAACCAGAGCAGGAGGACGAAGACGTATAATTATGGCATGATAGAATTTTGTAGTTCAGAGGCGAATTTAATCTATTCTCATTGAAACAAGGTAATTTGCTATCTGCGACATCAGCTTTGATGTTTCTTCATAAGCTCCATTTTTTTTTTTTTTTTTTTGGTAAATGAAACTTATGGAGTCTAATTTGTTGTTATTGCTAGCAGAGAGAGATATATTTATTTTTTATTTATTTGTGGACTGTTTATCAATGGGGAAAAAGATTCGGCGTGCCTCTCTACAACTGCAAAAGAAGGTAATTTTTTTTATTTAAATTTGTTCTGTTTCTTTTTTCTAACTGAAAAGTTTACTTCTTGCTGTGTTATGTGTTATACTAATTACTGGGCCAGTGACATTGTTGATCTAGCTATTGTGTTATTGAATTGTTGGATGGGTCTGAAGTTCAATCTAATACTGCACTGCAGTGAACTATTGGCTAATTTGGTCTAAAGTAAAGTTTTATTTTTTCTTTCGCATTGTTTGTTAATTTGAGATGACATGGTAAATTAATTCTTCATTGACTGAGTTCTCCATCTCCATCAACATTTTTTGGGATCAGGATGACCATAATTTGGAGGATCGGATTAGTCTGTTGCCAGATGAAATTCTCATCCTAGTAGTATTGCTATTGAGTCTTAACGAAGCAGCAATTACCAGTGTCCTGTCAAGGAGATGGAGATGCGTCTGGGCATTTACTACCCGTCTCCACTTTGATGCTTTGGAAACGTTCTTTAGTGCCAAGTTGATTAAGAGGGAAAGGCGTAAATATGTCAATTGGGTGAATCACATTGTGATATCGATAAATTTCATAAGTGATATCGATAAGTGGCTTAAGTTTGAGTTAGCGAGGAGGGTTAATCGGCTTGTGTTGGACTTTTCATTGGATCCACATTCTACTGGCAACTGCCGTTTATCTTATACTTTTCCAGGTGAGATGTTTGGTGAGACTAAAGGGACTTCTTTAGAGAAATTGTCTTCAAAATTTTCCATCATGCATAGGTGCTCATTTGTGGGCTTGAAGTTACTAAAAGCACTGTGTTTGAAAAATGTGAATGTTAGCGGAGATGTTCTTGAGTGCCTTTTATGCGCCTGCCAAGTTCTTGAACAATAATGCGTGCATGGCTCGAACGATCTGGTACATTGCAAGGTTGCTGGGCCATCTCTTGTGTTGAAGTACTTGGAAATTGACTATTGCTTCAACATCAAGTCCATGGTGATCAGCAATGTGAATCTTGTTGCTTTGAAATATTTGGGACATGAAATAAGTTTGCTTCTTGAGAATGTTCCCCTTCTTGTTGAGTTATCCTTTGGTGGGCTGGTTTCTTGTTATTGGGAGGATTTTTTTCCGCAGCTTTCATGCTGCCTTTCTCAACTGCAGACTTTAACATTGAATGACAGTATGTTTGAGGTTAGCATGTGCATTGTGATGTGTTTGCTTTATATTGCAATTATCTTGCTGTTGGAGCCTTACTCTTTGTTCATTTTTTCAAGGAATTTTCAGGGCTTCAGGGTCTCCTGAGTTAGTCTTAAAAAGTTTGTATTAAATTCCGTAGCAGATTGTGACGATTATTGCCTCCTCGGATACACTTCATTCATAAAGGCATCTCCAATCTTGGCGAAATTTGTGTTACAGGTGATGTCTGTGCTTTACAATATAACAATAAACTTTATTTCAACTGTACTCTTGATCATAGAAATTTGATGCATGAAAATCTCTTATTATGCATTTGACCATGGTCCAGTATTTTCGTATGATGTCAAGATAGGAGGGTTTACAGGGTCTTGCAAGTGTTCTCTACCACCTAATGAGCCAATAAACTGCATCCCAGTTTAGGGAAATCATGAAATACTATATGCTAACCACTGCTCGCATATATGACTACATGTTCATGTCTACCCCGGACTTGCTTCTAAAGTATACCCCATTTCTGTAGAACACAGTCAGGTTGCATCCACGGGTGGTGTCCAAAAGAAAGGGCATGGGGAAGTGATAGGTTGTTAAATGTTAAAGGAAATTTTCATGATTAGCAAGGAATAAACAAATATAAAGTTTTTTAGTTTGTCTTCTATAGTTTTTGCTGATTTTTTCATTTTGTATTTTTATTGAAAGGCCTTCTTTTTTTCTTTTTTTTTATTTCCAAGGAAGGTTTCTTAGTGTCTGTAGCTGGTTGCTATATGGTTTATTAACTTCATTCCCTCCTTGTGGAAGCATTGAGATTGGCTGATATCCCGTTTTCCCTCAGGTAGAATGGACGAGCACTTCCTCAATTGACAAAAGGAAAGTCAGGAAGGCTGAGAGATGTTCCCATCAACACCTCGAAGAGGTGGAGTTGGCTGGGTATTATGGTCGCATAACTGACCTGGAACTTGTCATGTACTTCTTCGAGAATGCGGTTGCCTTCAAGAAAATTATTGTTGATCCTCGTGATCCATATTCATTAGGCCTCCCAAAGAAGATTAAGGAAATCAAGAAGGAAAACGCTGCAAGAGTTCGTGCGAAACAGCAGTTGAAAGGTAGAGTACCAGCGGGTATTGAATTAGTGATCCTTTGAGTTATGTCTGAGAATTAGTAATTATGTAGGAACTTAAACTGGCAACTGGGTACAACTCGTTTAAAAGAGTTTCAAGGGCTATCTATTTCTATGTTGGACCTCATCTGCTGCTGGTGCTGTTGTATTTTTGGTGAGGATCAGGTGGTACCTTCATATTTAAGTACTGAGAGATTCTTTCTAATGTATTTTTTTCAATATTAGTTATCTGTCTTAATTTCAAGTAAGGTATTTTTGAATGTTAATTCGTATTTTTTGATGACAGTTGAAACTTATAACTGTTATCTCATCAAAAATACCATTAAGACAGAGCTATTATCCCCATTATTTATACATAATTAAGTTTCTCAAATTTTTCCGATAATAGTTATGTGACATAATTTCGTTGTGTGGTTACATTATTTAAGTCGGTCAAGGAATATAAAATTCTATCAAAACAAAAAACAAAAACTTCAAATTATTTAAACGTGTTTAAAAATTTGAATCATGAAAAGAAATTGCATCCCAATGAATAAATAATGCTTATGAAAATGTAACTTACAATACATCTGAACTGGGTAAAAAATCTCGTCTACAGGCCGTAACGCCTATTCCAGCGCTAGTTGGTGAATAAATTAGTGTTCAAGTTTGGCTTAGGTACACTCAATCACTGGTTTTGGTATGTGAAATTAGGATTTTATTTTGACCATGTTAGGGGTGAGAGGAATGGGGAATGAAGGAACGCTTCAGATGAAAATTGGTATGTGAAATTAGGGTTTTGGTAGTTGCTTAATATACAGTTTGGCTTTAATATCCCTGACGGTTGAGCCACGTGAAAAACTCACATGCAATTTCTCGCTACTAATTTTGACAATGCTCCACAAAAGAGCCAGGTTGCTACAAATCAAGGAGTTGGAGGGTTGAATTTACACAAAATTGAGTTTAAGGGCTAAATTGATACAAAAAACATAGTTCATGGGACACATGTGTAGTTCACTCCTAAAAAAAATAGGACCCTATCAAAGATGTTTTTTTTTTTGCAAGTAATTATCAAAGAGTTAATAAAAAAAAAGGTGCTTTCATAAGCACTACTTGTATTTATTAAAGTCGTTGCCTATGTTGTGGGAATAGAATGACTTTGTAATTCATCCTTTAATATTACAATTAAACGATCTCTGTGCATATTTATGTTATATAAAATATAGTATACACGTAATAAACAATGTAGTCAATAGTATGTAGGAAGATACCATTCAGCCTCAACAAAACTGATACCACTCAACTTCTACAAAATATGGACAAAAAGGTGCAAAATAATATTTATTTTATCTAATTCAACTCAGTCATAGTCATATTAAAGTAAGATATAATGTTTTTTTAAATTTAAAAATGTATTTATACTTTACTAATTTTATGTTAAATTTTTCATCGGTCCATCATTTATTTTATAAGCTCAGTTGAGATCATCTCTCATCTTTTTGAGAAATTAATTCCTTAGTAAAGTCAAAAATGGTTTTGGGTCAAGACATATTACTATTTATATCTAGGAAAATTTGGAAACTAGTACAAAAATTTGGACTTAATTGAGATAAACTACGTTAAAAAAACTTATTTAACCCTAAATACTTTTTTTTTTTTAAAAAAAGACTAAAAGATTATTTATTACTCTATTACTCTCTCTCTCACACACACACACACATATTGATAATTTATTTTTTTTCAAATATGTAAAGATTTAATTTAATTTTTTCATCTCTCTCCCCTATTTTCTCTCTCTTTCTCACTCTCTCCCTCTATTTTCTCTCACCCTTACTCTTTCTCTCCTTATTCTCTCTCCTTACATTAACATCAAAACAATACAATTACATCAATCAATTACACAATTAATTGCAATTATCTATAATACACCAAACAGTTTCTCATGCGTTCTAATAAACTAAACAGTTATACTAAAGAAGTATACAAAATTACAACACAACACAATTTATAATTTAGTTATTTACATAAATCAAAGAGTTAACAGTATTTAGTATCACGACATAATTATATCAATTATATACACCAAATTAAATTTATCATTACACAAAAGAATCTAATGCCTTACTTTTCTCAAGCATGTTATTGTAGTATCAATACCTTAGGAGGGGTGAGGAAATCAATCGCAGAATTAAGGATTACTTGTACATTAAAGTTGTCATCAAGGCAAAAAAATTGTAATTTAACTTTAAAAAATTATAATTTTAAGTACGGTATTGTCTACGGCGCTCAATATCTTAATGATAAAATAGAAAAAAAACAATAGCAATCCACTTCAACATCTTAAAGATAAGAATGAATTGTAGATGAGGGGTTTCAAAAATATCAGTAATCATCATGCTTTGAACGTTTTTTTGACTATGGAGTAATCATATTGATCACCTTTTGGTGCATGGTGAGCAGTGGAATCATTCTTCCTACCCCCATGCCATTAGATTCTTCTCTTCCTCAAGAGTCCCCAATGAATAACTAAAGTTCCCATAAAGCAAAAAATGACTTTTTCTCTCTCTGCTGCTTTAAATCAAATAAGAAAAATAATCCAACCACAGTACTAAAAAGTAACTTCTGAGTACCTTACTTATTTTTCGTCTAATGAGAACTTGACATGCTACTTATTTTATTAATTTTTTTTTTTATTTTTACGATCAATAACTACAAATAAATCAAAAAAAAAATAAATCTATGGCTTGAATCAGTACCATAGTCTTATCATTTAGATGAATGTAAGCACACACAGAGAGAGAGAGAGCGAGAGAGAGAGAGAGAGTTGTAATTTAATATTGGGTGTGAATTGTTGAAATAGGCCATTAATTTGTGTGTTTTGGAGAATGTAGGCCACATACCTGCAAATCCATTGTTGAATGTTTAGGTCCCTCAATTTACTTGAGTTAGGCCTTTGGTTGAATGATTTTGGGATTCATTTGGGAAATAAAAGTGTACGATTGATGCAAGATGTTAAGAGGAAAAAAAAAATTCATTGTATAGTTTTATGACTTTTGCGTAGATGTGATTTTCTTTGTTGGATGTTTATTATTCTTAATCATCAGGAAAAAGTGATTTTCTTTGTTGGATGTTTATTATTCTTAATCATTAGAAAAAAAAATTCGTGTGTGTTTATTGCTCAAGTGCGATCGCCTCACTACAAATTTTTGATCTCTTTACTTGATTTTTTTCATATAGAAGTGTACCGAACAAACTTTATTGCGATTTTTCTGAATTGTTCTCTGATTTCCCCCTTTTGTGAAGTTGATAGAAAATAAACCACAATATTGCTGTGGCCATATGAGATGGTACCAGTTCATTGACAATGGCCAATTGGAGGAGTAAGATGAACCTAAAGTGGCTTATTTTGGAACAAATCTATGATGCAGTGACACCAATCTTTGACAGGGTTAAAGTGAATCATCCCATATGGTTCATTCTTTAATACAATGAGCTTGAACGAACCAAAACCAACCCTAGCCCGAGAGTTGTTCATTAACAGCCCTCAGCAAGAATCAATTGGTTAATTGTCAAAAAAAAAAAAAAAAAAAACTCATGAAGCAAAGAACTATGGCATTTACCATCCCATGCAATGCCATATAATTTTTAGGTTTCAAGTCCCCTTTCTTTAGTCACTCTCTTTTGCTGCTATACATGTTCAACCCATCAAAGGTCTTGCTCTTGAGCAACTCTTTTTGATCACTTGCCACAACTTCTGTCACTCTCTCCTACAATGAAAGAATCAGCTTCCGGCCTCCGAGATGCTCTTTAACGCCGGTTGCCATGGTCTTAATTTTGCAGTGGCCGAGTTCCCCGATGGCGATGTTCTTGCCCGATTCCTTTCATGCTTTTTCACCTAAAATTGCTTTATATGGTTAGAGAAACATTTTCATGGTCGAGGCCATAATATTACAGAAAAAATGAGCTTTAGATGCACAATGGTCTTATTACCCTTTCACCTTGGAAACCTCTGGGATATATATCACTACAAGAATTTGGGTCTTTTGAGATAGTGTTTACCATTACAAAAAATGCATATTTTGGAGAGAAAAAAAATTATGGCAGTAATGATGTCATAAAATACTTATTTGATGTTGCAAATACTATTTAAGAAGACAGTTGCTATCATAAAGATTTTTTTGAGACTACACTTATTATGGCGAGGCATGTCATGACAACACCTTATTGTAAACAGTAGAGTCAAAAAATCTTTTAGACGGTACATCCAGTCTCAAATAATTTTTGTAGCAATAAATAAATTTTTTATTACAACACTATCGCCACAATTAGAGAGTATAGAGACTCAATTGATATAAAAAAAAAATTCAGCGACTTAATTGATATAAGAGTCATATACTCATAGTTTAAGAGTCATAGGTGTATTTTATTTCATATCATTTGTGTCACTTGAGTGACACACTTTGTCACTTCCATTAGAAAATTTAACGGAAGCAGACAGAAGGGCTCAGTTGACACAATTAGATAATTCAATGACTCAATTGATATCAAAAAAAAAAAATCAAGGACTTAATTGATATAGATGTCATAATTTAAAGATTATATGTATAATTTGCTTTAAATTTTTTGAACAAGTGGGAGACAATTTTGAAAAATCTGTCGCTTTTTTGCTTACTTTTGATAAAGTGGAAAACAACTTTGAGAAGAATCTTTTGCTTTGTACTACTTTTGCTTCAAGAATAGTGTTTGTTGCATTCCAAAAAATCATGTTATTTTGGAAGTATTAGGGTCAAAATTCCCAAGCAAATCAGTTTTCTCAGAATTGGCTTTAATATGTCTAATGATATTTGTATGATGAGTAGACCATGGAAGAGGATTATTTGTAAATCTTAACAAAATACAGAAATATAATTTAAAAATGAGATTAATCTCTAAAATTATTTTTTATTTTAAATTTCATTAATAAACTTGTCAATAAATTAAATTAATCTTTTAAATAGGATAATGGTTCTATAATGAACATTATGTCGGACCAAGAATAATATAATTCGTGGGTATTGCAAAATAGAATTCGAGATTTTCTTGAAAAAAAATTTAATTAGCAAAAGTAATTCTTTCTTATGATTTGGACAATTTCCAACTAACCCTTTTAGACAATTTCATGTCTCTGATAATATAATTTCCTTCTTTTTTTTTCTCTTTTGCAAGCAACCTTTATAAACAGTTGTAATTCACCATTTTAGGAAAGGATGAAACTGAAAGCATTTGCTTTACTCTATATCAAGCTTATGAACATGAGTTATCATAATCATTAGTACTATTTGTGTTTAAAACCTAATTAACAAGATATAAAGTATAAACAGAATAGTGTTTGGAGCAGAACCAAACATACCCCTCATAAATTATTTTCATGCAGAATTTATTTCATGTTTATTCTCAAGTTTTATTGATTTACAGAACGAGCAGATATAGAATCACACCAATTTCGAAAATTGTCTTTCTGAATATTCTTCAAATGAATGGGAATTGTATTCCGTACAGATATATTTAGAGTATTAAGAAAAATATTAGTGGACATTAAGAAAATTATTACCTGGTGGATCTTGTCCCTGTCAGTGCTTCTTCTTGCTGTCTCAAAATGTGAACCAGCTTCCTTCTCTTTCATTCTTTCTGGCTTATCAGCTGAATCTGATTGTTTGTTCTTCATCTTTGCATACTTTTTTTCCCCCAAACCTTTCATAACCTCTAGAAATCAAAAGCCACAGAGAAATTTAATAACCAAACTGAACAATTTTATTGTTGAAACAAGTCTAAATATACTTCAAAAATTCAAGAACAAGCACTGAGTGACTAACAGACCTTCAGTGGTGATGAGCCTATAAGCATGACCAAGAACAAGAGTATCAGTTTGCCGGAGAAGTTTAATGCGTGTAATGCGAACTGGGTTGTTGGTGGTGGCGGCAGGGGTGGTGGTAGTCATATTCTTGTCATTGGTGGTGGTGGTGGAGGAATACAAGGTGGTTGCAAGGAGAAGAGCAACATAGTGGCCAGGGTTCATCTTCATAATTTCACAAGCAGTTACAGGGCAATACAGTTTGTCCACTCTACCACTTGGGTGTTGTATTACTAGACTTGCATTATCAATGGCTTGGCAATTTCCCATCTCTCTCTCTCTCTCTCTCTCTGTGGGTGAGCAAGGAAAGAGGCAGAGTCTGCCCCAGTATATTTACAGCTAGCTCTCTCTCTCTCTCTCTCTCTGTGGGTGAGCAAGGAAGGAGGCAGAGTCAGCACCAGTATATTTATAACTAGCACCCACCACCCACCACTCCTCATATGGGTGATGACGTCAACTCTGTATATAGTGTGTGAAGCCTCTGTAAAAAAGATGAACTTTGTAACAGTCCCAAGTGACTGTACTCATTGAGGACTCCCCATTAATGGCACAGAATATACAGAGTCACCAGTGAACATTCCAGTTTTTGTCATGTTTGACAATGACACAAAGGTTTTACTTCTCTGATTCGAGTTCAGGTTACTGCAACTGGACCAATATTCAAAAGAGTAAAATTACATTTACCATAGTCGCACGATGAAAATCGAACACTCGGGTTTAATCTCTTTACCCCCACTTAGCTCAATTTTGTACGTATGATTCATAAATGAGTAGTGTTATATATCTCAAATTTATAACTCAAATTTGTATCTCAAATCATTCAAAAATATAATACAAAATAGAATAAGCAAATGTGAATTTCAATTTTATAGAGGTCCAATTGTAAATAGATGAACCCATTAGATATATTCAATAAATGGGTGAATACGAACTCTGAGTAGGTCGAGTCGCATCTAATTTAGTACCTTTCAAATCATTATCAATATACGTCAAGAATAAATCTCAAGTTGTCTAAACTATCTATGATTCAATTTTGAGTCATCGAGTTATCGTCATCGCCATTGAATCGAGTGATAAAATTTTACGATGATGTTATATAGTTTGAATATCTGATCATATTCAACTTCTTTTTGATTGCATCGTCTTATATCACGTTGCGATTAATGTCTCTTAAAATCTTTCGAATTAATGACCGATATCACGATTTTGATTGAGACTGTGATGTGGTGACCTGTGATTGGTTGGGTTTGAGAAGGGAGAGAATGTTGGAGTACAGGTGATTTTTACTTCATAATTGATACGTTGCGTCCGTTATGCACCAGCTGTTGTGCAGTACCATTCTAAAATTGTCATTTGATGGCCCCACATATGTTGATATTGTCGCTTGATAATAAAAAAATAGAAATTTACATTGATACCCACTAAACTTTGTCACTAGATCATACAAGACTCTCAAGCATAATAAATAACACCTAGGACCCCAAAATCCTAACCCATCACTGAAATCAAGTCTAACAATCCCAACCCACCGTCACCACCACCCATCAACCATCCCTACCCCTTTGCTACAAACCCACTATCCCTCCAACACCTTGACCTATCCATTTCACCATACCCAAAGAAATCAATTCCACACTACACGCACATAGTATCACCACTAAAAACCTATGAAGGCATATGCAACTATTGCAGCACACAACCATTGATCTTACCAAACCTCTCTTTAGTAAAAATTGAACCTCAAAATCTCTATGGCCATAGGAATTACCAAACACAATAAAAACCCTATACTAGTTCATTTCATAATCGAAGAAGGAATCGCACGATTCCAAATAAAAGAATGTAAAGCGTGAAGATATATTTAAGGGTTCAGATTGATATTTGGATTTGGGTTGGATTTATTTGTTATTTATTATAGGGTAAAGATATGATACACGAATGAAAATGGTATTCTTTCATATATTAGGGAGTTCATGTGATTTACTACAAATATTACGGTGCCCAAGTGTAATTTATTGTACAAATGAAAAAATGAATATCTTGTGGTTACTTCTGCATGCGCTTGAACATTGAGTGTGGGATCAGCATGACTGCATGAGAGAGAGAGAGAGAGAGAGAGAGAGACGTTTCTTATTGCTGACCAGATCAAACCAAAGCAAGCAGAGGCGTGAAATTGAATGGAAAGATAAGGAGGAATGAGTTCGAATGAGGTATGAGTATGGGTCCCACCCCCACACGCTGCATAACAAACACACTTACCGTAATAAGTGGGTTGTCTCGTGTGATTGCTTCGACACTCATTCCCCCTCTCAGCGTTACCAATGCTAAAATGTGGTGCGGAATTTTAATTTATTTTTTTATTTTTTGGTATTACAGACATCCGATCACGATCACTTAGACTAATTTTTTTTTAATTTTATTAAAATTAAGTCATTCATGTCAAAAAAACATTATTCAATGCTCACAAAATACCCCGTTGTAAATGTCACGTGATATTTACGTTCAACTGCAAAATTATAAAAAATTTATATCTCATAAAAATCTTAGTTTTAGTGTAAATTACTTACATTTGACTGAACTGATGAAAAATTTAGTCGAAGTACGTGTGTGTGCTCAAAAAATTCTAACTGCTAAACCAAAATTAAAAAATTATGATAACATATATTTGTCAGACATTTTTTTTTTTAAAAAAAATACTCTTCACAATTTTGTAAGCGACAGCGATTGATTGGGTTGGGTGTGTGAGGCAGCACTGTAAAGTTTTAAACCCTTGTTTTTTCCCCCTACAATTACAAAAACACTTTGGCCAGCACTCAAAATTTTCAGACCCTTGATTTTCCCCCTACAATTACGAACACTTGGCACATGTCCTCATCTCAGAGAATGGGTTTTTGCTAAAACAGAAACGCTAGAACTTTAAGGGTACTTTAAGCGATAGCATCGATAAATTATAAATACAGATATTTTGAATTTAAATTTTAATAATTTTTTAGAAGTAAATTATAAGAGATTTATTAATCATTAATCATTTTAACAAAAAAGATATTTAAGTTCATATCAAAATTCAAACTCAAATTCAAATCCCGGATCCGACCCCCCCGCAAATTCCACCTTCTCCTCCCATGACCACTAACATCAACCCCCTTCCTCCCCGTGCTGTCCATTTCCCCACCCCCACCATGTGCATACAGTAATAATGGCTCCAAATGGAATGCTCTTTCACTTCTATCTGCCATATATGTAGGACTAGTACCAACAATTCATCATCGAAACTTTACGTACTATGTTGGGATGACCAACCAATAGTAACTCATTTGTTAAACCTAGTGTTAAAAACAGGATTACTTAAATATGATCGTTACAGTTCAATTCCAATTATCACTAGGGTATGATAGAGGTTCAATTCTCATAGTTGTCGAGTAACAAAATAAAACTAAAAGCGTTTGTATATTCAGTGCACAACCATAAATTTTAGATTCAGAGTGATGTTTAGTATTCATACATTTAAGAAATACGTGACGAATTCAAGTTTGGGATCTAATTTCTTCAAAATGATGTTAAAATTACGAACCACATATCTCTTATAACCCTAGTTATAAATTAATGTATTGTGAATCATATGGGATCTGTTAGAGAATGATTCAAATGCACACCAAATGTTTGGTTAATTTAGCTTATCAACCTTACTAGTGGTCTATGCAGAATTATCATATCAAGTACGAGACCATTGAAAAGGTTTGTTCGATGCTGTTGGATTTGGAAACAGAAACTCTTACACAGTTGCGCTTGGTATAGCGGCAGAGTTGTTCTATTGTAATTTGAGCATCAAAAGTTTTAGTTATAGAAACAGTCTCTTCCCTTACGATTATTAGACTACACACATATAATCCTCTCTCTACTACGAGATAACCGAAAACTTCGTGCACTGTCTGAACTTGTATATAAAGTGATTTCCCATCAAACCCAAAAGAGAAAACATAAAAATCAAAAGCTGGACCAAACAGTCTGTGTAAGGTTTTTCTGTCTTCATATAAGACGAATGACAAAGACATTAGTGGTCCTCTGTTTTACCTGCATTACTTACTACTATGATTTGATCACCACAACTTGTTTGTTTTAACAGGAAAATCTGCTAGTGGTGTACCACTTTTCACTATTGCTGCTTTGTGTTGAATTAAAGCTAAAAAGCATACCCTTTGCTTTGATCTTTTTGAATTGGTCGGAAACAAAAAAGTCACAGTCTAAAACTAAAGGCGAATTTTGTATTTTGAAAGATTTTAAATTTTTTATTTAATACCCTTGATGTATCAAAATATTACAATATTATCCTTCTATTAGCTTTCTGTTTGTTTTTTCTGTTAGTGTAAATGGGTTGAATTTTGACCAAAAAAATAAAGAAAGCTAACAGAAATGTCACATTGAAACACTTTTGATACATTGAGGATATAATGTGATAAATTTAATCTTTGAGGGCACAAAATAAAAAATTTGAAATCTTTTAGGGTACAAAGTGTGAAAAATCCTAAAATTAAATCTATGTAGGATCAAACTATAAAGAATATTTGAACTAACGTGGAAATATTTTCAACCTAGTGTTTCCTTTAATTTAACAAGGTAAGAAAGTAAGTTCATCAACTTTGATTCAAAATTATTACTTTTTTTTTTTATAACACATGTTAAGGCAAAGGTATACTTTTTCCCCACCTTCCTGCTATTTGCCTAGCTATGCTCTCTTCCAGATCAAATGGGTGTAGTATATTCCTTTTTTAGTAATCGAGAATCTCCCTAAACATGAATTTTTCAGACCCATGACTGCAATTCAAAGCTCGCATAATCATTCGTAACTAAATTTATCGGTTAAAGCCGAATTTTATATATCTAAAGACACAAATTCAAGAGTGCGGATTTTCATCTCACCCCTTATTCAACCACTAATTAGACCATGTGGGTAGAGTACTGTCATACCTCATACACTGAATTATGTAAATTCGAATATTGTGCTTCATATCAGTTGACAGTGAGCAAAACTGAAAGGGAAAAGGGCATAGGAAAGAGAAAATGCACCGAGAGAAAGAGAGAATAGGATGAGGGATTGATATAATCCATTGCTTGGTAGAGAAAGTAGGGAGAAAGGGGCTTTAACTTTGAACATATAGGTTTATGTTTCGTTCCTTACTCAATCGAAACTAGTTCATNCTGAGAGAAAGAGAGAATAGGATGAGGGATTGATATAATCCATTGCTTGGTAGAGAAAGTAGGGAGAAAGGTGCATAGATAACTTTGAACATATAGGTTTATGTTTCGTTCCTTACTCAATCGAAACTAGTTCATGTAACATGACATGCTCCAAAGAGTGTTTTAATATGTTCTTGAAAACCAGAGTCTCAAATCAAGAATACAGTACAAAATATATATATATATATATAGAAAAACAATTTCTTAGCGGCGTTCAGAGAGAAGTTTTCATATTTTTTATTTAGTTTGTAGGTATAATATTTCATGAGCATATTAAGCTGGTGATATGATGGCAAAGAGTGGTCGGTGTACATGGTCGATTTTCTCCACAGTCTCANAGAAAAACAATTTCTTAGCGGTGTTCAGAGAGAAGTTTTCATATTTTTTATTTAGTTTGTAGGTATAATATTTCATGAGCATATTAAGCTGGTGATATGATGGCAAAGAGTGGTCGGTGTACATGGTCGATTTTCTCCACAGTCTCACCCTTATCATTTCAATTATATGATGAAAAAAATGAAGGCTAACAGAACTCATCCCTTCCAAACTCCAACATACTTTCTCTTCATGTTTTTAAATATACATTGCGGATTTCGCTTCCACTAATGTTGGATAATCTACCACGAATGAAAATAAAAAATTTCAGACGAGATATACATATATACCAACCATATCAAGCACCGTAGCTTGGTCTTAATAAAAACCTTACAAGATTTCAACTGAACAGAAAATCTTCTCTAGAGGGTTAGACTTGGGTATCCAAAAGTAATTTTTTGATATTATTGGCCAATTACAAAGTGACACATGTAAAGTTTATTATTTTATTTTTTTGTGATTTGTGGTTACAAATAACTCAAAATAAGATATTCGATAAATAAACCGAAAAGTTTAAGTATGAATAGCATAATCTTGGGAGCACAAGACCATTAATACTGTAGAAGAAGAACGTTTTTTTTGTAGACTTTCAGTGCATCCATGAAAGTTAAATGAAAGGTCCAACTTTTCCATTGTATGTGCATAAATTAAGCAAGCAGCTTGTGGGCAGCATTGAACTCCTTTTCTCTTTCATGAATTAAAATGGGTGGGAGCAACATTTTGTAGGTCCCAATGTCACTACCATTGCATTTAACATTCTATGGAGACCACCCACACCAAACTGGATGGAGAGTAATAAATTTAGGGTTTCTTTATTTAGGGTTATTGCGAGTAAAGATGACAATTTTTAACACGCGAAATGAACCCGATAATAAGTAAAATTTTATTAGTTCTCAATATAAAATCGAAAATGGTGTGATCTTACTAACTTGGATCAGGAATAGAATGGGTGGGTGTCAATCACGACTAACCCAATTTTGACATGACAAACCTTTTCAGACATGTTGCACCGAAAATGGTGTGATCTTACTAACTTGGATTAGGAACAGAATGGGTGGGTGTCAAGCACGACTAACCCGATTTTGACATGACAAACCCATTTAGAGATGTTGCATGGAGAAAATATTTGATCTTGTACTATATGAATCCTTGGGGACCTACAAACAATATCTACTGTTGCAACAAGAGCATCAGAATCCAAAAGAGTAACTTTTATGGTGACTACTTTGACAGTGAAGAAGGCCATAAAAAGAGATTAGCCGCTGACTTATTGGTCACCGTCCCCGTTATTAGACTTTAAGGTTGTGGATTCAAACTTCGTCATTCTCTTCCCCTAATAGTGTCTGACCCAAAAAAAAAAAGGCTGCCACAAAGATAAAGGCCACAGTATAGCAGCTAGCAGCAGTTCATTTATCATTCTCTATATGTTCATCTAAAGAATACCCTTGCTGTGTATAGATATCCAAAATCAGTTATATAAGGGACACATCCTAGCTGCCATTTGAAGCTACTATGATAATGCTTTCACAATCATTTAATGCATTTAGTTTCATTCTGCAGATATTACTAGGCCCAGGTTAGTTTGCATCTCAGAAACTATTTTCTATTTGCAAATGGTGAGAAAAAGTTGTTTGAGCAGTTGTTTTTTGTTTTGTGTGTTTTTGAAAACCACCTTTTCAGAATTTGGAAAACACCACCACCCTTCCACCAACACCAACACCAACACCACCACACTTCCACCACCATGACGTCCACTACCACTGTATTTCTGTTTTCATTATTTTTTGGGTTACTGTCCAAAAAAATTTTACTGTTTTTTATTCCATAGAATTGTTTTTGGAATCATATAACCAAACAATTTTTACGACACAAAAAATACCAAAAACAGTTTTCTAAAACTCTTCCCAAAATAATTTTCACATACTATTTTTTGAGACACAAACCAAATAGGGAATAACTTCTATGATACTCAGATCTCACGTCTTCAAACTCGGTTCTTCCATGCTAGAACACAGAACACTGGATTCAAAAAGCACAATACTACAGAAACTTTCAGAGCATAAGCATGTAATCAAGTTTGTTAATAATATGTATGATATTGATATGCTCAGCTAATCAAATTTTCACACTATAATCTGCTTCACAAAATCCACCAATTCATATAATAAGAAGCCACAGATCATCAGATATAAACAGAGGATTAGATGTCACATAGGAATCACTCAATGTACCCATACGAGTGGCAGGTGCTCATAATTTAATACGCAATGCTCAAATCAGAATCCGTACAGCAGAAAAAGGGAAAAAGCAAAGAGTTGAAAGCAGCAAATTTGCTTCATTGCTACTCTAAATCCCTACGATTCAACAACTTTACAGCAAGAAAAATAACAAACAATGGCCTAAGCATCAGTCAAATCACCAGATAGTTTATACTTCTTTAGAATGTGTTAAGGGACACAAGTAAAAGAACAATAGTGTGGTGGTTCAGCCCCACAAATAGGTTTTCAAAGGTACCAGGGAGGTAGACACACCTTCTAATTCAGAGATGGAGCAAAATCACACAGAGGGGAAATATTTGTTAAGATTGAATGGCAGTGCATAGAATTCCTCATTTCTTGAGTCCCCCTTGAAGGACTTGAACTTGTCCCACCAATGCTTACCTCTGTCTTTCCTTATTGAGCCATCCTTCTTGTGCAGTGTGTTGTCCAGGAAATAAGCCAACAAGCCCGCAACAAAAGCTTCAGATGAGAAAGGGACATTGACAATGTCGTTGAACTGCCCAGTAAGAAAAAGGCATGACAATTGTTAGGGGAACTCACAATCAAACAAGAGATTATACAAAACTTGAAGACAAACTCGGAAAGCTTCAGGAGAAACTTCATTTTGGTGCATACCCATCTCCCTGATGTGTGGACAGGACCAAACCCAGTGACTGCTGTATACTCATTGAAGTATTGGGGAATAGACAAGCCCAGAAAGATTGAGAAACCTAATACGAACTTTGTTCGGAAGCTGTTGAGATTGCAGAACTGAAGGAAACTTAAACCTACCGAACCTGCATTGGCAAAGATTAAGCATATCAACAACTTACCCTCACAATATGAATCAGAGGTTACAATGTGCAATAACTAGCTTGCTACATCATTTATACATACCCACGTATGCAAATAAAAGGCAATACAAAGCAGCAACTATTGGTGCTGGGATCGAAGCAAAGACTGCTCCAAATTTTCCTGCACAAAAATTTAATTGATAATCAAACAATATGCACATGAAGAAGGAATCAAACATGCATTCTTATCCAAATAATTTACCGAGAACGGAAAAGAAAATCATGAACCCCGCAGATATCTGTACAACTCTTCGACTGCCAACACGCGTCAATCCTAAAAGGCCAGCATTCTCACTGCAGAGAAACCAAGTGATTAGGAAGTTCAGTCGCGATTACTAAATAAAGAAGATTATGCAACAGAATGATGGGGAATTTGTCTTACACAGATACAGAAGATCCATTTCCAGTTCCAAACACCCCAGACAACAAAATGCCAACCCCCTGTGGACACAAAAGACATTAACTCCTTAAAACGCAACCCAATTCAAAGCATTGTCACAACTATTTGGGCAAATAAAGCATTATTAATTCACAACAATTTGAAACTTAATAACAACCTGAAGCAAAGGATTTCCACATGTATGATTGTAATTGGAAATGTTCAATACATGGACCATTTTAAAGATGGACATCATATTAATTATCACCTTCCACTAGGGATGGCAGTGGACCAGATAAAAATGAGTATTCGTCTAAACCTGTCCCGTTTGAACCGGAGATTGAATATACGTACTAGAAGGTAAACGTATACGGGGATACTCGTATAAAACCGTAAGGAGATGGAGGGAGGGATGGATTGAAATTCATCCCCGCCCTGCCCCGCCCCGCCCCTCCAAACTCGTAATATATATATTATATATATAACAAATAAAATAATTAAGTGAAATATACATTTGTTATACATATTATATTTGTGATTTTTTATATTTGATTCATTTGTTATATAATGAGTTTTCGTCCTTCTTGCGTTTTATGATTTTTTTTAATTTTTTTTTTTAAATTATAAAAATTAATTGTTATGAGTAGGGACGGTGATGCGAACTGGGATCAAATTTCCACTGCTAACGGGAGTGGACCGGAGGTGGACGAATAATTTTTAAGTGAGTACGGGGGTGGAGACTACTCTCCCACCCCGGTCCACTGCCATCCCTACCTTCCACTAGAGAGAGAGAGAGTTTCTTTTTTATTTTTTGCCCATTGGATGCAAACAAATTATCTTTTACCTTTTCAACCTTTATTCTAATTAGCTTTTATATCTACTCAAACAAAATCCTTCTGGCCAGATAACTCCTTAGGTTGTTCCAGGACCATGTGGTTGGTTGCTTTATTTGTTTCTTTCTTTATTTTTGTACTTATTTCTGTCTTGATTTTTAATTAAGGCTGGTACATAAGATGGCCACACAAGTGGTAGAAACATTATCCAGTACGCATGTCTGACTTCCTTTCATTATTATGACAAATTATAATAATGCTATTTTTGTCGGAGCACTCCTCAAACTCCTCCATATCCACCTCCATGATCACTTCTAAGTTCTAAGTTCTAACATTTCCTTGATTGTGGCAGCACAGATGGTGGGGGTGTCACTTGCCAAACATACCAGTCACCCAGCCCACAAATATGAGCGTTTTAGAAAAACAGAAAAGCTATTTAATATTGTACTTTCATTTATATTTAATTATTCTGTTACTCTGTGCATTCAAGCACACAGTCTGCACACACGCATATGTAAATTTGCATCTTGAGGACTACTAAGAATGTAGAAAGTCAAAGGAATTGATCTAACTACATGAAGGATGCAAAGAACAATCTGGGTCAATAAGTTTCAATTCTTAAGTCTTACATAATAAAAATAACAAAGAAAGTAAAACACATTTAACTTACCTGCCAACCCACACCACGACTGAGAACAGATGGTGGCATGTACGTTGCACTGGCATATCTTGCCACCGCAATGAAGGCACCCGTGGACTGCTTATACCATTAAAACATGTAAAAAAACAAGTTAGTTTTGAAATTAAATTAATCCTGAAGCTTTGCCCAACTGTGCAAATCTAGTTCAACGCATACACATCAACACTTGTATAAGCAATTATGCATGCACATTCCCAACTAAGTATAAATAATTATTTAATTCTCAAGATGGTTTAAAGCTGTTAAAAATGGAACCTATTGATTCTCCCCCCCCCCTTTCTCTCCTCTCCCAGACACAAAAAAAGAGCACACACTTTTCAATGCATCATTATCATGTCAAATGATTGCTTACACACTGAAAGCAAAAATAGGTGAATAAATAAATTTACTAGCAAATATGAAGGTAGGCAGGGAAGGCTAAATGATAAGTCCTTAAACAATGATGATAATGTTGATGATAGAAACAGCAAGCACTACTAAGATGACAATGAAGGACTTTCCATTCTGGTCACTTAGTTAGTAGCACTGAGAGATAAAAACAAACCTCTACAAGAGCAACAAATGCAGCCATCATCATGGCAAAGGCTTCACCAGCATCAAATGAAGGTGCTCCCCATTGAAAAGGATAGGGAACTCTTATCCTGCAGATGCAAGCATCAGCATAACTATAAGGATTGTTCTCGGCCACATGTCATCATGCAAAACTAATTAGCTATGTTCTATTTCCTACGTGAATAGATTATCCAATCAAATGGAATCCCTATCCCAAAACGGCAGCTCAAACTCAATGTTACACAATAACACCTAATTTGAAAGAATTCTTGGACCCAAAAGCAAGTCAACTTCAAGAAAAGAAAGAAAACTTACTGCATTTTGCACAAGTATGAGAACACACATATCACTATCTTTCTCCTATTTAAACTGTAACTCCAGTCTCAAAAAATCAGCTTTTTTATGCATGTCGTCCAAATATATGCGTGTATATTTTTTAATTACCCTATTTATATTAATTTGCCATGACCCATTCTCTAGTAATCCAAAAACAATTTCAAGACATGATATAATGCCGCAAGCAGTTATGAGGAGAACCACAGAGGAATATCAGCAAACTATTTAGGCATCAAAATAATGGATCAAATNGTAATCCAAAAACAATTTCAAGACATGATATAATGCCGCAAGCAGTTATGAGAACCACAGAGGAATATCAGCAAACTATTTAGGCATCAAAATAATGGATCAAATCCATTAATCATTCTTGTTCTCTTTAATTTTGTTTGTTTCTTTTCTTTTTCTTTTTGGAAGGATAAACAAGAATTTACTCAAACGTGCCAAAAGAAGAGGTGCAAATAAAAAAAACAGCGAATGTGGCAAACAACTAAACACGTCAAATCAGGTTAATGTCAACATTTATTGAATTAATTCAGCCCAGACATGCAACAGTAGAAAAATACTAGGATGAGTAACTACGATCATCAACAGCTCATGCTTACCATGGAGCAGCATCAATAAGTCCAGCACGATCAGTACGGCAGCTTGTTTGTGTCTTTGGTGCCTTTCCATTATAGGCTCCACCAACAGTAAGTAAATGAGCGTAAATCCATACAATCACCACGGAGAATATAACAGCAAAACGAGCAAAGATATGTTTTCCTGAGTGTATCAGATGGGACAGATACTGCAAATAACCAAATTGGTAATCTGAAGCCTAAATTATGTATAAATATTTACATAATACGGATAAAATGGAAGTGATCTTTTTATGTAAAGAGACAAGTTTTACTGTGATACAACAAATTACCTGAGACAAGAAAACTATTATGACAAGTTGTGGCAGCCCAATTTCAACACATTTTGCAACCTGAACAACCAATGCAAGAGTTCAAATCCAAGGGTCATTAGAGAGTCCATAAGCAAGCATTATAATAGTGGCAGACATTTTACCCATTCTAAATGTGGTAAAGATATATGCTTACCCCCGGAAAACCAAGCTCATAGAGTCCAAAACCAGCAAGAGCAACCAAAGGTACAACAGAAAGTGGGCTCAGAAACCTAAGAAGAGAAAATCATAACATTCTCAAACATGCTTTTAAACTCCGGCAGGAAAAAAATGAAAGACAACATATTTAAGCTTCTCTAACACAACCAGTATATATTAGAGCAAGCCCTTGATTGCATTACTATGAACAAGGGGAAGGGAGTATAAATATAATTAAACAATTTATGCTCCAAAACTCAGATTGACTAGCTGAAATGATTGCATATAACAAGCCCAAGGGTAAAGATATAAAGGCATATAATCTGGTCTTCTTCAGGGTGAATTCATAAGATCAAGGGCTCAAAAAAGTCCAGATCAACTCCGGTATAATTACAGACACAAATCAAAGCCAACTTGATTGGCCTTCTGCAGGATAAATTAACAAGATCGCAGTCTCAAACAAGTGCAGCCCAGATAATTACAGAAACAAGAACAATAGAAGTTGTGCAAGCATAGTTAGTTGCATTTGTACGAATTCTAAAATGTGAACCAACCTTACAACAATGCACCAGAGGCCACTGAAACCTAAGACTATCTGAATAGTCGAAGCAACAATGAGTGCGCCCTGAGTTGCCCTCATTATCTTCTTGAATCTCTGAATAGCAATAGAAAGTGATCACGTATTTAGAACCAAAACTCAGTACGATTGTTGTGGTGTTGGACTTGCGATTTTCTCCTCCTTTTTTATTTCTTTTCTCATTACTTTTGTGTTCTAGTAAAAGAAAGTCTGTGGTAGTTATCTATTTCTACAAAACAATTTCCATTAAGAGTTCTTTCTTGGATGAAAAATTGAAAATTAAGAACATGAGTCCTTGATGATCCGAAGCCAAAAAAACAACAATTTTCACTTTCAACTAACTGCAAATAAAATAAAATAAAAAAAGACTTAGTTCGAAATTTTCATCTGGAAGAAGTTCTACAAGAACATGAAGAACAAAGCCGTTAATCATATTTATTATGTGTCTAACAAGAAATTGTGTGGGTGCTATCCAACATCATACAATTTTACAGGAGTGGATTTAGATCACAAACCGATATGGGGTCCGGGTCGCTCCATCGACCAGATAGGATAATGGAAATTGTGGGTGCCACAAAGGTATATGACCCTCCAATCACAGCAGGTAATCTAGTCCCAAAAAATGTCTGCAACAGGGTGTTCAACCCAGCGACAAAAAGTGAAGTCTGGATAACTTTCGCTTTCTCCTCCTAGAATGGCAAATAAGGTTTGATTAGAATAGTGCAGAATATCACGTGAGACAAGACCATGTTGGAAAGAATTAAACTACATATTTGCATTCTCAGGCCTCACATTTCCGCCTCCCATTTGAGGAACAAGAGCAGTAGGAATGATAACAATTGTACCCAGCATCACTAAATAATGTTGAAATCCAAGGAGAATAGCCTCGGCTGCATCCAAAATACCACACAAACTTAAATGAAGTAGATCAAAACAATCGATGACAAACTAATGAATATGCAACTACGAGTATGCATGTGTGTTGATTGAACATCAATCACAAAACTACATGGTGAAATACAAAGGCATTCCACCAAAAATAAACAGGGATTCCACAATCTGCGACACGTAGAAGAGGCAACATTGTAGATTGAAATGGTATTTCAAAATTAAAATCGTTTATGTTCACCAGCACAAATAGTTCTAACAAAATCATACTAAATGAGGCGCGGCCACATGCAATTGACAATAACACACAAAGGCATATATAGTAAATGAATCTCGAATCAACTTTAATCAAATAAATTTATGCAAATAACTTGAATTAACATTATTATAGCAACGAACTCAGATCAAAAATTCCCAACACGGCCCGTTAAACGGCAAATATTTGCTGACCAGAAAAACAAAACATTCACAATTTGCTGATAAAGATTACAATTTGTCTTTTTTTTTTTAATTTTCAGAAATATTATTTAGTTTAAATTAAAATCTGCAGTATTGGATGGTAAATTATAGAATATACGAAGCAACTTATTGAAGGAATAAGAAACTTTAATGAGGAAAAAAAGCCAACAGATTCAGAAGAATCAGAACCCCCACAGCTACATACAGTAACTGAATAGAAAAGTTTATCTATTGAGTTACTGATTTAGGGCAACTTGACATAGAGGATCTAACACTTCTTATCAAACTAAACATAAAAGTGAAATCCACTGAATATTCTACAAAGAAACAGAATAGGATAAAGACTCACGCCATGGGGGAGGACTAGTAATGCAGTAGGAAACATTGGGAAGCTGATCTTTTGGTGGGTGTGGCGCAGGTTCGTCTGCCTTTGCTGGTGCTCCTCCACCTCCAGCCATGACTTTCTCTTTCTGCTTTCTCTCTCTAAAACACTGACCCCAAAATCACTGAACCTCTAAACACTGCGAAACCCAAATCTGCACAAAACCAAGATCCCAAATCTCTTAGAAACCCATGAAAATGATGACAAATTGAAGAAATACTTGAATTTTGAAGCACCCNCAATCTGCGACACGTAGAAGAGGCAACATTGTAGATTGAAATGGTATTTCAAAATTAAAATCGTTTATGTTCACCAGCACAAATAGTTCTAACAAAATCATACTAAATGAGGCGCGGCCACATGCAATTGACAATAACACACAAAGGCATATATAGTAAATGAATCTCGAATCAACTTTAATCAAATAAATTTATGCAAATAACTTGAATTAACATTATTATAGCAACGAACTCAGATCAAAAATTCCCAACACGGCCCGTTAAACGGCAAATATTTGCTGACCAGAAAAACAAAACATTCACAATTTGCTGATAAAGATTACAATTTGTCTTTTTTTTTTTAATTTTCAGAAATATTATTTAGTTTAAATTAAAATCTGCAGTATTGGATGGTAAATTATAGAATATACGAAGCAACTTATTGAAGGAATAAGAAACTTTAATGAGGAAAAAAAGCCAACAGATTCAGAAGAATCAGAACCCCCACAGCTACATACAGTAACTGAATAGAAAAGTTTATCTATTGAGTTACTGATTTAGGGCAACTTGACATAGAGGATCTAACACTTCTTATCAAACTAAACATAAAAGTGAAATCCACTGAATATTCTACAAAGAAACAGAATAGGATAAAGACTCACGCCATGGGGGAGGACTAGTAATGCAGTAGGAAACATTGGGAAGCTGATCTTTTGGTGGGTGTGGCGCAGGTTCGTCTGCCTTTGCTGGTGCTCCTCCACCTCCAGCCATGACTTTCTCTTTCTGCTTTCTCTCTCTAAAACACTGACCCCAAAATCACTGAACCTCTAAACACTGCGAAACCCAAATCTGCACAAAACCAAGATCCCAAATCTCTNATAAAACTACATGGTGAAATACAAAGGCATTCCACCAAAAATAAACAAGGATTCCACAATCTGCGACACGTAGAAGAGGCAACATTGTAGATTGAAATGGTATTTCAAAATTAAAATCGTTTATGTTCACCAGCACAAATAGTTCTAACAAAATCATACTAAATGAGGCGCGGCCACATGCAATTGACAATAACACACAAAGGCATATATAGTAAATGAATCTCGAATCAACTTTAATCAAATAAATTTATGCAAATAACTTGAATTAACATTATTATAGCAACGAACTCAGATCAAAAATTCCCAACACGGCCCGTTAAACGGCAAATATTTGCTGACCAGAAAAACAAAACATTCACAATTTGCTGATAAAGATTACAATTTGTCTTTTTTTTTTTAATTTTCAGAAATATTATTTAGTTTAAATTAAAATCTGCAGTATTGGATGGTAAATTATAGAATATACGAAGCAACTTATTGAAGGAATAAGAAACTTTAATGAGGAAAAAAAAGCCAACAGATTCAGAAGAATCAGAACCCCCACAGCTACATACAGTAACTGAATAGAAAAGTATATCTATTGAGTTACTGATTTAGGGCAACTTGACATAGAGGATCTAACACTTCTTATCAAACTAAACATAAAAGTGAAATCCACTGAATATTCTACAAAGAAACAGAATAGGATAAAGACTCACGCCATGGGGGAGGACTAGTAATGCAGTAGGAAACATTGGGAAGCTGATCTTTTGGTGGGTGTGGCGCAGGTTCGTCTGCCTTTGCTGGTGCTCCTCCACCTCCAGCCATGACTTTCTCTTTCTGCTTTCTCTCTCTAAAACACTGACCCCAAAATCACTGAACCTCTAAACACTGCGAAACCCAAATCTGCACAAAACCAAGATCCCAAATCTCTTAGAAACCCATGAAAATGATGACAAATTGAAGAAATACTTGAATTTTGAAGCACCCAGAAATCAAAATTGAAGAAAGAGTCAAAATTTAGAGCACCCAGAAAGCTCAATCACTAGTGCAGGAACCAAATAACAATGACAAGATTGGAACAACCACCCACATGTAGTAGCACCCACTATCATATGGAACTGTATAAATGTGAAGCAGGACAAGAAAGAAACTGTAAACATTGTAAGAATGGTAATATGCAAGAAAAATCATAAATAAAGCCCAGAAAACTACCTTACAACAATCTTTTGAAGCAAAAATCAAGTGGGATTGCATTCAAGTCAATAAATCATAGACCCCACCTCAAAGAAAAGTTAACCAAAAGTAGAGAGAGAGAAAAAAGAAAACTTTAGGAAATGATTTTTGCTCGAAGCCAAAGAAGTCTAGCAACAAGTGTAGGGAAGTGTGAGCATACGTGAAGATAAAATGACAGGAGGAGCCCAATAGTGAAGGCCTCTTTCTCTCTCTCTCTCTCTCTCTCACACACACACACACACACTAAAGAAAGAAGAAGAATCTCTCTAACCCACCTTTTTTCTAATGTTTGATTAAGATTTTCTTCATTGTTGGTTTCTTCATGTTCAATTAAGCTCCACCAGATATACGCTCCTAAACTTTATAAACAAAGATAAACAATACTGACAAGACAACATCCATGGAATACAAATGAATGCCAAATAAAGTGTAAGGTTGTCAATTTTAGATAAACTTATTATAAAATTAGTGAATTTTAGTTAAGCCTCTGGCAAAATTTACTCATCCATAACTAAATCTTCCCATCTGTTTCAATTTTCAGACAATCACACAAAAAACTTGAGTTCTTTTTTAATTTTGGGTACTAAAATAAAAAATTTGTTAAACTCATAAACTACATAAGTCTATGCGAATTTGATTAAATATAATACACACTCACTTAACATGGCTTATATATAGTTTACATAACACATAAATTCGACACAATACAAACCCAATTACACATGAACATAAATAAATGGATTATGAATTAAATAAATTTTAAAAATATTCAATTTTGACACGACACCAAGACCATTGACTGTTCTAACGGTGCAGTTTGGTGCTTTGAGTTTTTCCTTTTTAGGGTGCCAAAAATCCTTTTAATGGATTGTAGGTATAATATATATACGTAGAATACACACAATTCTTTACAAAGCTATGTGTGTCGATTTATATAAAAACGTATTATAAAACTGTAACTTAAAAATTTCAAAATAATCCTTAAGGGGTCTAATTATAATATTAAAAATAATTTTTTGATACATATATTTTATTTTTTATTTAATAAAAATATGACACATATAAATTTTATTTATTATTTTTTAACTAATAATAAGAAATCATTTAAATTAAAATCAACGATTGTAATAAATTTTAATTCTGTAGAGTGATCTTATCCAAAACTAATTGTTTGTATTAACTTCCAGCGGTAAACTTCACTTTCCAGTTTTGCTTAATCAGTGTATTCTCAATGAAATGACGGGTTTGTCCTTTAGAAAGTGGAAGACTATCATTAATCACCGAACCCAATCATTAAATAAATAGGTTATTTTGACCAAGAGAATATTGGGATAGCAAAAAGGCAGAAGAAAACAAGGACACCCACACATTCTTTTGTTCCTTACAATTCACTTATTACAACTTGCAACATAAAAAAGAGTAACGATACTTTGACCTAAAAAATTAATTTAATATGTTAGTTTAATATTGTAATTTTATTAAAATTATTAGATTAATATTAAATTTTAATTTTAAATTATTAAAAATTCATAAAAAATAAATCCATAATGTCCTAATCTTAGAAAATTACCAATATTTGAAATCAAGACGTCTGAATTTACCACAGTTGTAAACAATTTTTAAAGGGAAAGTGAGAAGGAAATTACAAAAGAGTCGGTGAGTATACATCCAAAATTATACTTAGAATATATAATTCCTTAAACAGCTTTAGCAAACCCAATCTAGCATTAAGATGACTGTTAGTGTCAATCTATGGAGTACTGATATTCTCTTAATGTCAACGTATTTGTTTTGGGTATCGTATAATACAAATAAATCAAAAAATGCATATGAATTTGAAGACATGGTTATTTTTTTAAGTATTAGCTTACATCACATCACATGTAAAAAGAGCATAAAATAAAATAATTACACTATAATATTAGTAATAAAATACTTCTAAACAAACTTACTAATTACAAGTTGGTTCCAATCTTGTTCGTTAATCGTATTCACTTTGTGAATACATTGCATATATAAGTTTTTCAAAAGTAAAATTTGTCAATTTTTTAATTATTGTTAAAGAATAATTAAAAATTATAAAATATATTTTATTATGACCATATTCATATATTTTTTAAAAAAAAACTTTATATTATTATATTTATATTTTATAGTATCCGTATAATTATTCATGCTCTCTGGGTGTCAATAATATTCAAATGACTAAAAAACTAATTATGGGCTTAGTTGAAATTAGGAGGTGAAAAGAAAAGGACAAGGAACAGAACGTGGCTGTTGCTTTCCGTTCTTTTTACACGACACCCATATCAACATCCCATCATAAGCCAATGGGGACCACAACACCAAGAAATTCCGCCATTTCCTCTTGCTATAATTGAAGAGGGAGAAAACTATGTTATCCTTTAAAAAAAAAAACCAGTATTGTACCTCTAAGTTTTATAATATTTGTAATTTTTTATACAATTTTTTGAGGTTGTTTATAACAAAAAAAATTTTTTTTTTGTTCATGTCACGACTTTTAATGTTTGAGGTATAATTTTTTGGGCGTAACTTCCGATCGCCCTTAAAAAATGTTAGGGTTGATCTTAACATTTTAGGGCGATTGTGAATTATCACAAAATTATAAATAATTCACAAAAATTTTTAAAAAAATTACAAAATTTATAATTGTGGTACGATATTAATTAATTATTTTTTTTGATATCTTAGAATTGAAGAGCTATCTTCTCATTCTTTGAAGTCCCCGTTCCTCTTTTACCTCCTTAATACATTTTCTTTCTCCTCACCCTCTCATTTAATTTTTATTGTTTTAAGAATATATGTCCTATTTTGTCTAAAATAATTAGTTTCTCCTTTAGTGTTTCCAACATTTTTAAGTATCTTTTATAATAAATAAAAATTATGTTGATCTAGTGCAAGAAATTTCCGTCACCATGTGATCTAATGATAGTTAAGTATACACAGTCTTAACTGGAAATGCAAAAATACTATTTTTATGATCAGATCTCTTGACGTCTAGATCACAATGAAATAATCGATTGTATTAGAAGTTTTTTTACCGTTTTAAGAGCACTTAGGTTTTGTGCGTTTGAATAAATTGTCTCAATATACTATCATTTTTAATTCATTTTAGAATAATATTACTTTTTTCGAGAGTTTTTCTTATTTTTCTTTTGGATTCAGACTAGTGTCTTATGTAAAAAAAATGATGATTTATTTGTGTCTCTTTTATCGTTTCGTCACACCACCATCATTGTTGCGGCCCCTTCCATAAATCTTAGTGGTTGACAAAATAAATGATCTGATAATGTGTTTGTTTGTTATGGTAAGACTGTAAATGAACCCCTCATTCATTGTTTTCTGATCCATACATTAAGTTGATTATATGGCTTTAACCAAAAGATTAATGCTCCATTTGGTAGAAATGATAAAAAGTAGNAGAAAAGAGGATGAAGAGGGCAGAGTTCATGGAGCAAAATAGGCTTCATTCCCTTGTCCATAAGACAAAAAGGGAGATTTATAGGCAAAGTTGTAACTTTTATTAATTCTTTGTACCAAATAATGTGATACATTCATAATTATTGGATAATTAGTGGGGCCAATGAATCACATTGCTTTTGTTCAATTTTTTTTTTTTTTGGTAATATGTGCTTTTGTATGTTTGCTTGTTTTGGTTTTTTTTTTTTATTCAATTCAGACTTAATGTTTTATTTCTAGTTTAATTATTTTTATTATATGATTGTATAGATATAAGTAAGTTTGTCAATCGTGTTGGGTAAGGTGGTTTTGTATCGAATTTTAACGAACTTGTTCAAAAAAAAAATACGAAAAAGAGTATATATAAAACCCAAAGAGATCGACACGAAAGATTCATTGTTGTGCAAAAATTAATCATTTGACGTCTTGATTAGGAGAAGCAAGGACAACTAAACAGATTNAATTTCACCGGTTCGGCACGAAATCATAAATATGTTCTATCAAGGATTACAAAACATTTAGTAGTGAGTTTGCTCCTCCATTTTTATTTACAAAATAAACCAAAAGCAAGACCTAATTGAAAGTTAGAGCAACTTCAAGGGAGAGTGACATCAAGGGTGGCAATCCATGATGCCAACCCAAATTTAAAATTCTCCACTCCAAAGAGGTGGCATCGAGAGTTGTAAATGACATCAAGGCTCTTGGGTTGATGAATATAGATCCGTTAAATTATTGAATGATCCAACTATAAATATAGATCCAATAATTCATATAGATTGATGAATGAAAATATGAAAATGACATCTCATTTTAGTACATGTTGTTGGAGCAGATTTACAAGTCAAGAATCTCAAAATACTGTTAAAAATTACAAATAAATGATTTTGGCATTCCAAAATAGCAACTCTCTTTAGAGTTGCTCTTAGTAACATAAAGAAAGATGAATTCATTTATGAATGAGATATTGGTTGCTTCCTCTGTCGTCCTGGGGGAGCTCTTGACAAGGAGACCTTGGGATAAGTTGCCAAAATAAACAGGAGGGTAGGACTGACCCGTTCAGTATAATTCTAAAGAAAATCTGTTGGCAGCAGGTGGAAACATTTCTTTGGCCCCTTTGGATACGTGTTCAATGTCTTACATGATATTACAAACTTTAATTTTAAAATGAAATTCCAGAATTTTCAATTACGATTACATTTCATATAAGGGTGTCAATTTTATCCATTAACACGACCAATTGATACAAATGATAAATAGGTTAAAATAAAATTAAACACGAATAACACGATAAATTGATAATGTAGGCAAAAAAATTATATTTTATAATTTTTTTAAATATTTTACATAATATAACATAAAATTAAATAATATTTTATTAACATGAACACAATTGACATCTAGAAGATAAACAACGATAACGTGCACTGCTTTCTAATCTATTGAAATATTCAAAAAGCAACTGTTCAAAAACAAAAAAGAAATGTTCAAAAGCGACGTACGACTTTACAAAGTAATTTACATC